TAGTGCATAACAATTTCTGTAGCCACCTAGTGTGGACGTACTCAGTCCTTTTCAAGTCATCATGAGACACTGCGCTACTATTTTCTCCAGAAGTGGGCCCAGAGTTTTCTGCATCATAACAATTCTGTAGCCACCTAGTACTCATTTTAGGCACGCTTGACCTAGATGTCTGAGTTTAAAGAACATTTCTGCCTTGTACAAAATAACAAAATAAACATTTAAGAATTTCTCTGACATCCTTTTATTAAGCAGTTTGCATCATTTTAGTAACACAATGAAAACAAACATGAGTTCCATCTGTTGTCGATCTACATATTGTCCGTAAGCTAATCTTCTTGAATTCAGGACAAATTTGAAAAAACTCGAAAAAAAAAAAAACATGATAATTATTAAATAGAGGAAATAAAGTAAGTCTGGAAGTTATCAGAAGTTCTAGAATATAGGAATGACCTGTACAAGTGACACATATCAAATCTCATCTACTGACAACGGTGGACCAAGGTCTGGTTCCTCACAAAGCATCTCTTGAACCTTGGAGCATATCAACAGACATTTAAGTCAAAATCGGGAACATTTCCATACTCTCAGCTGTATGGAAAAATGGTGATAATTTCTTATTTTCGAAAAAAACAACGGGCACTTTATTGGTAGTTCTGTCAACATCATACTAGTTACTTTTACTTTCCAAAACATGTTCTGGTATTGATTTTCATTCTGGGCTGACCTGTAGATGTAGTCAGTATAAAAAAATCCAACCCATGAAGTGACTGCAATGGTGATGGTGAAGATCACTGTTTCTCTCCCAGGTTGTTGTCTGTAGGATTAGCACCTCAAGCATGAGAATCAAACAGAAGAAAATCTCAGAAGCCCTGCTCATCCGTACAACACAGTTATATTGGGTCAACACTATAGTTGCAAAGTTACCTGCAGTCCAGCCTGTGGATGAGATATTTGCTGCAATGGTTGGAGATATTTACTGCCATGGTCGGAGATATTTACTGCAATGGTTGGGGGCATACAGACAGAATATTGTGGCACAACTGGATACCAAGCATCAGCACACCAACAGGGAGTCCCATGGATATATAGTCTGGCTCATGCAGGAGGGCAAAGAAATGATACAGCACATTTTTTCAGGCTTCAAAAGCGATAGCTACGGAAACACTCCTACTGGGACAAAGAAGACATTCTGAAGACCATTTACAAATAATGCTGACAGAAGACATGAGGCTACATGAAATAACCTATGTAAGAATGTGTGAACAAGGAATTAGGTGTCCATCAGGCAAGGAGGGACGTAAGAGAGAATGATGAGTTTATAATCAGTGTGCTAAAGGAACAGCTAGCGTCTACACCTCAACAATCTGTTGCAGAAGACAAAGCATCTACACCTCCAGAATCTGTTGCAGAAGACAAAGTGTCTACACCTCCAGAATCTGTTGCAGAAGACAAAACATCTACACCTCCAGAATCTGTTGCAGAAGACAAAGTGTCTACACCTCCAGAATCTGTTGCAGAAGACAAAACATCTACACCTCAACAATCTGTTGCAGAAGACAAAGTGTCTACACCTCAAGAATCTGTTGCAGAAGACAAAGTGTCTACACCTCCAGAATCTGTTGCAGAAGACAAAGTGTCTACACCTCCAGAATCTGTTGCAGAAGACAAAGCATCTACACCTCCAGAATCTGTTGCAGAAGACAAAGCATCTACACCTCCAGAATCTGTTGCAGAAGACAAAGTGTCTACACCTCCAGAATCTGTTGCAGAAGACAAAGTGTCTACACCTCCAGAATCTGTTGCAGAAGACAAAACATCTACACCTCCAGAATCTGTTGCAGAAGACAAAGCATCTACACCTCCAGAATCTGTTGCAGAAGACAAAGTGTCTACACCTCCAGAATCTGTTGCAGAAGACAAAGTGTCTACACCTCCAGAATCTGTTGCAGAAGACAAAACATCTACACCTCCAGAATCTGTTGCAGAAGACAAAACATCTACACCTCCAGAATCTGTTGCAGAAGACAAAACATCTACACCTCCAGAATCTGTTGCAGAAGACAAAGCATCTACACCTCCAGAATCTGTTGCAGAAGACAAAACATCTACACCTCAAGAATCTGTTGCAGAAGACAAAACATCTACACCTCAACAATCTGTTGCAGAAGACAAAACATCTACACCTCAACAATCTGTTGCAGAAGACAAAACATCTACACCTCAAGAATCTGTTGCAGAAGACAAAGCATCTACACCTCCAGAATCTGTTGCAGAAGACAAAACATCTACACCTCCAGAATCTGTTGCAGAAGACAAAACATCTACACCTCCAGAATCTGTTGCAGAAGACAAAACATCTACACCTCCAGAATCTGTTGCAGAAGTCAAAGCGTCTAAACCTCAAGAATCTGTTGCAGAAGTCAAAGCGTCTACACCTCCAGAATCTGTTGCAGAAGACAAAGTGTCTACACCTCCAGAATCTGTTGCAGAAGTCAAAGCGTCTACACCTCAAGAATCTGTTGCAGAAGTCAAAGCGTCTACACCTCAAGAATCTGTTGCAGAAGTCAAAGCGTCTACACCTCAAGAATCTGTTGCAGAAGTCAAAGCGTCTACACCTCAAGAATCTGTTGCAGAAGTCAAAGCGTCTACACCTCAAGAATCTGTTGCAGAAGACAAAGCGTCTATGGGGATGCCCAATGTGCTAATGGTGTTGATCACAGTGAATAGCAGATAACAGAGAGATAAAAACTGTGTACACGAAAGAAATGACTGGGAAGCCATTTTGCACACAAAGAAGAGGGTGGAGAGATAATATTCCGACAGACATACAAAACATTTAAAAGCCACCAACTGGAAATAGAAGGTGAATTACAGATGATGGAAGCGGGTGATATCTGCAGCAATGAACCCCAAGGGCTTGAAATGAAGAAGAACCTTTAATGGGGAGATAAATGAAGAAAACCTTACAATCTGTACACATTGTACTTAATCCTCAGAGCAGAAGTGCAGACTCTTAGATTTTACTTTGCTCAGTTGAAGATTATCCCTCAGAACAAGTGTATGCTCTCAGATCACACCTCATAATATCACACACAGAATCTCAGATTAGAAACAGATAATGTAAACAATCTAAATAATGCACACAATCTTTGATTCGACAGTTAGACCATGTATGTAATCTTAGATTATACAAAAAATTTGATTTTGTAAGCAATCTTAGACCAGTCTTTGATTAGATAGATCAGACCATCCATTTAAATAATCCTAGAGTATGAAAACAAACTTGAACTGCTCCAAACAATCTTAGGGCATCACCGTTCAATTGAGACCATCATTTTCACACAATTTTAGGGCATCGAAATGTGAACTACACCATCATTTTTACACAATCTTAGGGCATCACTATTCAATCGAGACCATCATTTTCACACAATCTTAGAGCATCACCCTTCAATCGAGACCATCATCCTATGTACAATCACAACAGACTAGACATTACCTGTATGTAAATGAACAAAAGTAAAGGGCCCATCTCCATACTAGGGTATCACCATTAGGAATTTGAGCCAGTTCCATCATTTTTACACAATCTTAGAAGTCATCACCAGTGTGTAGAGTATCATTTGCTAGAAATCTTTCTGCATCACCCTGGTTTTGTTAGGCTTAAAATCCTAGTTACAATCACAGATAGATTTTTGAGGTTACCTGTATGTAAATGAACGAAATTAAAAAGCCCATCTTGTATCATGAAGTCACTATGAGTTGAGTCAAAAACTGACATCACATCACAGCAATAGGGAGATTCAGATGGGTCAGCACCCAGTTTTCAGCATAATCTTGCTAGATCGCTTTCAATGCTGATGGTAGCTGTTACGTTAAAATAGTTAGGCTATAGAGATTTCCTCTGAGTGTAAAACTGTTTAGATCACCTGAAATCCCGGCTGAATTATCTTCACATGGTAATGATCTATTCACACTTCCTCCCTGTTAACTAAACACCGAAGGGCCTTGACCACATCATTTGGGAGATTCAATTAGCACCCCCATCCCCATTTTCAGCAACGAAGAGTCTGCCCGTTTGTTTCATCACTCACTATCCATGCGTGTGACATCAGTATTGCTTTTTAGCGTGTAGTGACTAAACATGTAGCATCTTTGATTGTTAGCTTATCCCAAGTTGTATTTTTGTTGAAATAAGAGACCAACTGTGTGTGTATGTGTATTAGGGCCAGAGAATGAGTGTGTAATGGTGTGAGGGTTGTAAGGCATCAGATTATAAATGTTAATTCCCTTAAATGTTAAATCAGCATATGTGACTGCAGATCAGCATATGGCAGGGTCATTTGTTGCAATGGACATGTAGAGTTAAGGCTATTTCTCCCTGACTCAACATTTCTTGTAAGTAAATAAGATGTTAGTTGGATACAGATTGGGAACATGCCTTACCGAGGTAGTACAATAACAGGCAGCAGATTAAATAAGGAATTAACAATGCATTTACTGATGTTTTTGTGAAATGATATTCATTTATAGTTATTAAAAATAAATTAGTTAAATAAGAACTTTCACAAAATTGGAAAAATGTGCGGTATTGTTGTGGATAATAAATATGTCTTTGTCAGTTTGGATTTCTTGTGTGTCCAGTTTGCTTTCTTGGTAGGGAAAATTAACTTTCAATGTTCACAAAAGTTAGCTGCACTAGATGCAGAATTACTTAATTTCACTAAATAGAGGAAATAATAGCGGAGGTAAAACATTTTTTGGAAACTAAAGGCCAAGTGTATTAAAGTAAAGGAAATAATACTAGTGCTCATGGTAAGATTAAACCACAAAAACAGCCTGCCAACCAGGCATTTAGGGGCATACCTAGACGAAAAAGATGAAAGCTCAGAAGCTAAAATATAAAAAGAAGCCAGTCAGCATTTATAAAAGTTAACAACTAATTATGATAAATTAATTTATGACACTGTAATGTCAAACCTGCAGCCCAGAAATGTCTGCTATAAATCAACACCGCCACCTTTAGCTTTGCCATTTTTCATTTTGCTCTTTGAATCTTTACCGCCACCTGTCAGCTTTGCCAGCAAACTGGACTGTCGCTTTGGGGGGTCAGGTTTGGCCTTGCTGGCAGTTTTGTCGCATGCAGAGGGTGATCTGATGACGGTGACCACACTCTGCTGTGAGCCCATGCTGGTGCCAGAACTGCTGCTGCTGCTTTCACTGCTACTGCCGCGCTCTTCCCGATCCAAGGCTATCGTTACAGACGGGGGTGGAGGGATAGCCATATTCTCTTCACTGGTACCTGATTGAGGTCGGTCTTTAATGGAATTTGCACTACTAGGAATGTTTGCTGCATGTATCATTTGCTGCGGAGTGTTCTTCTGGCTTTGTACATCTGGGCGATTCATGTTAGCATAAATACCACTAGCAATATCCTGTTCAAATTTAGATGCAGGTTTTTGCTGCGGAACAGGTTTTGGAGTGGAAAACAGAGGTCCTCCAGACAATTTGTGCTGTCCCTGAATTCCACCAGCGAACTGAGGTATTGCATGTGCCTGCTGAAGTGAGAAGTCCAGAAAGCCACCACTGACAGGAGAGATGTTAGCAGAGGTGGGTCTGCTGTCTTTTCTGGGTGGCGGAGGAGGCGGAACTTTTTTCTGTTTGTTGGTAGACTCTGAGCCTTGGGATAAACAAGCATTGTGTGATGGAAGTCTGCTGTCAGCTGGTGCTGGACGGGGAATACCACGAGTTGGAGAGTTCTGAAGTGAAGACACAACCCTGCTTCCTGTGACGGTCAGCTCTGGTGGGAGACTGCTAGAGAAAGATCCTGAACTGGTAGGAGACTTGGGTGTGGCAGTACCAGACGAGACTGTGTTTCTTGCATTTCTTTGTGTTGCTTTCTCACTCTGAGCTCCTGGGTTGACATCCAGTCCTGGTTCTATGCCAAGCGAATTTCTATTTGGAGAACCCGAGGATGGAGAATCAGGTGGAGTGTTTAATGAACTGAAGAATGCACTGCGTGCTGCCTGTCTCTGGGTTGAATTATGCCCTTTCTCTAAACTGTCTGGGTGTTCACTAGAGGTATCAGGAGGTGATAAGCTGTCTACGTTTGCAGCAAAATGTTGATCAAGAAGTGAAGCTTTCTTATCAGAACTGTGTATATCTGAATGCACATTTGTATTTCTTTTCACTGTATCAGTGTGAACATTGGTCAGCCCGTCTTGAGACTGTGAGGTCTTGCCAGACAAGCCATCAATGTTTTCTGGTCTAATTGCAGGAGCTGAAACTGGGAAAACAGGGTTAACAGCTCCACTTATTTGGTAAGCATACACTGTTGCATCTTTCTTTTTGGGACTTTCAGCTCCAGTTTTGATGGAGTGGGCTGAAGTCTCTGTCCTACCAAGAAATGCACCATTAAAGCAGTCTGTTGTTTGAGTTAAAGGAATGGACGCACCAGATTCTTTCTCTACTGTCTTTGTTGCCGTCATGGTGATGGTGTCCGACACAGCAGCGGTCATTGCTGACACGGTTGCTGTTGGTTTATCTGACTGCTTGAGCACAGTAGATGAAGGGAATGACGTCTTCGCTGATGTGGAAGATAAAGATATTATCGCTGCTGATGGCAAGTGAGCTGTTGGTGATGATGAAGACACCACAAGCTTAGTTGGAGCAACAGACTTTACTTGATCTGACTGACCTCCCTTTTCACTTTGGTAACCCTTGACTATCTCCCCTTCCTCATCATCATCATCACCTCTGATATCTGTAAGAGATGGAGGTCGTAGATTTTTGGAGGCTCGCTCTAAAGTTTTGCCAAATTTAAGAGCTTCCTGCTGGGAGCTGATCTTTTTCTTTCTCTCCCGGGATGCATCAGCAGCCTGCAGAATCACAAATAAAAAATTTGATTAGAGATTGAAACAATAAAACAAATTACTTTCAAGTAAATTTGAGAAAAAAAACAACAACTTTGAAGTAAATGTGAAGCATTATATAGAAAAAAAAAAAAAAAAAAAAAAATAAGATACATTAATAACATTTTTAAAATTGTCATCCAAACAGTGAAGCATTACTAAAAGTATACAGTCACTAAAAGTATGTAAATCATTATTAAAAGAATAATTCAATTTTATTAACAGGGTAATATTCTTTCAATAATAAACTAGTATGACTTCCCGACAAGAAAAAAAATGAAAATCACTAAAAGGAAATCTAATATAATAGAAATATAAAACCAAATATGAAATAAAAAAACAAAAACAAATATAATGTCAAATAATTGTCCAATAGTGACTTGTTAGAAGAAAAAACAAAGAACAGGAAACTAACACTGTGGGGAATTACATACATAATTTACTCTTTCATTACCAAGGAACACGTCATGTGTCATTAGAGAGCCTAAAGGCAGTTGACGTTTCTCTCTCTCTTCTGTCACAGACATTTGTTACATGAACTCAAGCTGTCCTACTTCTTAGTTTAGTTCATTCTGTTCCATAATGTTTTGTGTATACCTCATCGTACTAAAACATTAGAGAGCCTAAAGACAGTTGACTTTTCTGTCTACTTCTTAGTTTAGTTCATTCTGTTCCATAATGTTTTGTGTATACTTCATTGTACTAAAAACAGTCGCTGTTTCAAGTTAGGATTTCTTGAGATAAAAAACTGTTCTGGCTGGCACTTAAAGAGTTGGCGGCGTCTGTGGTTTAGGTGTTGTGAAAGCACTTCATAATGCCCGGGTGCTGGGTTCGATTTTCCGCTGCGGAGGGTTTGTCTTGCATTGGTTTTGACAGTGGTAGTGAAAGCTCACTTTCAGAAAGCAATGGCAAACTACTAAATGTAAAATTTGACTAGAAAAACCACAACAGCCAGAAAATTCTCGGGTTGGTTCTGCAACGTCCTGTAAAGAATACACAACTAACTTTTTTAAACTCAAAGAGTTAAGTGTAGTTCAGAAAGGAATTTTTCCAACTAAAAAGGCCACTTGCCTGAGCAGTCACTGTTCATGTATAGAAGATTATTTTTAAAGATCATGTGGATGAATCCACTGGAAAGAGTTGAGGAAAGAAGGGATACAAGAAGACAACATGAGAAGATTCGTGACAGCCCTTGTCAGGTCTTGGTTGGGAGGTCAGCACGTCAACTGTTGGAGAACTGGGGTTTAAGAGAAACTTGTCCACCCATGCCATTTCTGCATGGCACTTGATGACGATGGCAACGACGATGATGATGACAAAATGATGATGAGGATGATGATGATGATGACGATGATGATTAGATGAATATTAAAAGAGTAGAACAAATAATATGATGTATAAAAAATCCTCCAACTTTTAAAAGGTACTCATTTCTGGTTAGAAGGGAAACAACAAGTGGAAAGACAGCTTTTCAACAGCTTTCACAAGGTCCTGATGTGTTGCACTGACAGTTAATAGACAGCAAATGAATGAAGGATTTGATGACAAAACAGGATCTGATATAATTAGTTGGTGACAAGACTGGACTGAATGTACTCAGGTGGTGACAATACAGGATATGATATAAATACGTGGTGACAAAAAAGGGCCCCATGTAATTTATTATTGACCAAGAAAGAATTGGATGTAATTAATTGGTGACTGAACACAACCTGCTGTACACAGTTGGTGACAAAATGCAATCAGGTGCAAATAGTTGGTGACAAAACAGGATCTGATGTACATAGTAGGGAACAAAATGCAATCAGATGCAAACAGTTGGTGACAAAATGCAATAAGATGCAAACAGTTGGTGACAAAACAGGATCTGATGTACATATTTAGTGACAAAACAGGATCTGATGTACATTTTTAGTGACAAAACAGGATCTGATGTACATAGTTGGTGACAAAAGAGGATCTGATGTACATATTTAGTGACAAAACAGGATCTGATGTACATAGTAGGGAACAAAATGCAATCAGATGCACACAGTTGGTGACAAAATAGGATATGATATACATATTGACTGCAAAAACAGGATGTACATAGTTGGTGACAAAACATGATCAGATGCACACAGTTGATGACAAAAAATGATCTGATGTACATAGTTGGTGACAAAACATGCTCTGATGTACTAAGTTGGTGACAAAACATAATCTGATGCACAAAGTTGGTGACAAAACAGTATCTGAAGTACATTATTAGAGGCAAAACATGATCTCATGTACATGGTGACAAAACAGGATCTGATAAGGGATCATTACTTCTCAGCTTCAACATATTTTCAAAACATGTGTCACACAAGAAGAATAATAACTATTTGGCAACCTCACCCGTTAAAGACCAACTGTCGACAGTATGTTTCTGCTAGATAATTATACTTTAAAAAAATACTTGAAAACATCTGTTGAGATTGACTATGGACAGAGAAAAGGTCCATCACAAAAGGAAAAAAACAACAAACAAAAAGAAAGACAAAGAGATGTATTTTCCCAACCTCCATCTCCTTGACTCTCTGTTCATGATCAGGTACCAGGGCTCGAATATTATCCAATAGCACCTTTTTCTGGTCACACAATGATCCCGCTGTAGTGGGTGCCATATTTGGCACATGAGGGGGGCGATGATCTTGTACCGATGCTAACCTATCATACGAATAGAATCAGTAATAATTAGCAACAACACAGTGTTGACATAATTTTGTATTATACAAAATACATCATCATCATCCTCACAATTATCATCATCATCTCCTGCTGTGGGTTTCATGGCCTACCATTTGAGGAAAAATACATTGCTCCTTAATAAGAATGCCATAACAGATGCCTATTTAAGGATTTGTTGAAACAGGATGTGCTGGGCCAAAATGCACATACATCATTGCTTAGCTGAAAAAGACAACGCAACATAACAATCACTCTTTAAAGGATAAATGCAAAAAGAAGAAGATCAGCATCGTTATCATCAGCATCGTTATCATCAACATCGTTATCATCAACATCGTTATCATCAACATCGTTATCAATCATCAACATCGTCAGGTCAATTGTTGAAAGACAAGTGTTGAAGTCATCTGATTATGTCCTTCCATCGTTTTCTGTTCTCATTATGTCTTCAGCACATATTCACTATGTGTTCCAACGTCCTTGTATGTTTAAGTGATGTTTCCTGTTCTCATTATGTCTTCAGCACATATTCATTATGTGTTCCAACGTCCTTGTATGTTTAATTGATGTTTCCTGTTCTCATTATGTCTTCAGCACATATTCATTATGTGTTCCAACGTCCTTGTATGTTTAATTGATGTTTCCTGTTCTCATTATGTCTTCAGCACATATTCATTATGTGTTCCAACGTCCTTGTATGTTTAAGTGATGTTTCCTGTTCTCAGTAATTCTTCAGCACATATTCATTATGTGTTCCAACGTCCTTGTATGTTTAAGTGATGTTTCCTGTTCTCAGTAATTCTTCAGCACATATTCATTATGTGTTCCAATGTCCTTGTATGTTTAAGTGATGTTTCCTGTTCTCAGTAATTCTTCAGTACATATTCACTATGTGTTCCAATGTCCTTGTATGTTTGAGTGATGTTTCCTGTTCTCAGTAATTCTTCAGTACATATTCACTATGTGTTCCAATGTCATTGTATGTTTAAGTGATGTTTCCTGTTCTCATTATGTCTTCAGCACATATTCACTATGTGTTCCAATGTTCTTGTATGTTTAAGTGATGTTTCCTGTTCTCATTATGTTTTCAGCACATATTCACTATGTGTTCCAACGTCCTTGTATGTTTAAGTGATGTTTCCTGATCTCATTATGTCTTCAGCACATATTCATTATGTGTTCCAATGTCATTGTATGTTTGAGTGATGTTTCCTATTCTCAGTAATTCTTCGGCACTTATTTACTATGTGTTCCAATGTCCTTGTATGTTTAAGTGATGTTTCCTGTTCTCATTGTATTCTTGACAAGTCTCTTCACTAATCATGTATGACTGGCCTTCAGCATGGGGATAAAGTGATTCAAATGGATGCTGATAACTTGTGACACCTACCTCTTGAGAGTATAAAGTGTCCCAGTTATTTTCTTGCATCTTTTCAGGCAATGTTCTATTTCTGTTGGTTCTTCCTTCAAAAACCTGGACAACAAGAAAAAGAACATTATTTACATTTCAAAGCATGAATAAAAAAACTGCAAAGCATTTTTAACAATTCAGAGCTGATACTTCTTCTTCAGCATTCTGAGCCCTTGAGGTTCCTTACTCCAGATATCACCCGCCTCCATTCATCTCTCTGGTGGGCCTTCTCTTTCCAGTTGGTGACACAAAGTGTGCAAACATTCAAGACAACAGTGAAGATTACCAATACTTATTGCAAACTTTGAGCATGCATCATACCAGACATGGAAAATAAAGGTGGGCACACATAATAGACATCATTATGTTAAATAGTTGAAGAAAGAGAAAAAAGGCACATACAGTTTTTAGAATATTAACAAAACTGGCATCAATAAAAGTGAGTCATGGTTACTAATGGTTTACGAAAACCAACATGATAGTTCTGTACATACAAAAACTGACATGATAGTACTGCACACACCAAAACATATGATAGTTCTGTACACACAAAAACTGATATGATAGTTCTGTACATACAAAAACTGATATGATAGTTCTGCACACACAAAAACTGATATGATAGTTCTGTACACACAAAAACTGATATGATAGTACTGTACACACCAAAACTGATATGATAGTTCTGTACATACAAAAACTGATATGATAGTACTGTACACACCAAAACTGATATGATAGTTCTGTACACACCAAAACTGATATGATAGTTCTGTACACACAAAAACTGATATGATAGTTCTGTACACACACAATCTGATATGATAGTTCTGTACACACAAAAACTGATATGATAGTTTTGTACATACAAAAACTGATATGATAGTTCTGTACACACCAAAACTGATATGATAGTTCTGTACACACCAAAACTGATATGATAGTTCTGTACACACAAAAACTGATATGATAGTTCTGTACACACCAAAACTGATATGATAGTTCTGTACAACCAAAAACTGATATGATAGTTCTGTGCACACAAAAACTGATATGATAGTTCTGTACACACCAAAACTGATATGATAGTTCTGTACAAACAAAACTGGCATCAATAAAAGTGAGTCATGGTTACTAATGGTTTACAAAAACCAACATGATAGTTCTGTACATACAAAAACTGACATGATAGTACTGCACACACCAAAACTGATATGATAGTTCTGTACACACAAAAACTGATATGATAGTTCTGTACATACAAAAACTGAAATGATAGTTCTGTACACACCAAAACTGATATGACAGTTCTGTACACACAAAAACTGATATGATAGTACTGTACACACCAAAACTGATATGATAGTTCTGTACACACCAAAACTGATATGATAGTTCTGTACACACAAAAACTGATATGATAGTTCTGTACACACCAAAACTGATATGATAGTTCTGTACATACAAAAACTGATATGATAGTACTGTACACACCAAAACTGATATGATAGTTCTGTACACATCAAAACTGATATGATAGTTCTGTACACACAAAAACTGATATGATAGTTCTGTACATACAAAAACTGATATGATAGTTCTGCACACACCAAAACTGATATGATAGTTCTGTACACACCAAAACTGATATGATAGTTCTGTACACACAAAAACTGATATGATAGTTCTGTACACACCAAAACTGATATGATAGTTCTGTACACACAAAAACTGATATGATAGTTCTGTACACACCAAAACTGATATGATAGTTCTGTACAAACAAAACTGGCATCAATAAAAGTGAGTCATGGTTACTAATGGTTTACGAAAACCAACATGATAGTTCTGTACATACAAAAACTGACATGATAGTACTGCACACACCAAAACTGATACGATAGTTCTGTACACACAAAAACTGATATAGATAGTTCTGTACATACAAAAACTGATATGATAGTTCTGTACACACCAAAACTGATATGATAGTTCTGTACATACAAAAACTGATATGATAGTACTGTACACACCAAAACTGACATGATAGTTCTGTACACACAAACACAATCCCAGACATTTTAGAATGAAATGATAGTTCTGTAAACACAAACACAATCCCAGACATTTTAGAATGAAATGATAGTTCTGTACACACAAACACAATCCCAGACACTTTAAAATGAGATGATAGTTCTGTACACATACAAAAACAATCCCAGACACTTTAGAATAAGAAAACTATCATATAACAAGTGTTACAAAAATAGGTCATGTGTTATAAAGTCGTATGACAAAACTATTTCTTATGATCATCAAATTAACGACAAATAAGCTAAATGAGAAATTTATAATGAAAAATATAGACTTGTAGAGAGAAAGGTCATAAAAAAAGATTCTCAGCTAACTTATTAGGTTGAGCAATAGAAGATAAATAAATAATCAAAAAATAAAAAACAGTTGCATAATTAAGCTTAACAGACTATACAGTAGTAAAGGAAATAATCAAACTATTAGAATAATTATATAGAAATATAAAAAATGTAATAATAAACACTTACACTAATATTAATTTATTCAAAGATATCCTGTTCAATCTTCTGGGTTATAACTGAAAGACACGGAGGTTTTTCTATTTGGATATGGATTTTATTTGTTTCATATTGAACAGCTTATGTATACATATAGCATATGTCAGATAATAATTTTTTATACTTTAGTTGTCCTTTTTATGACAGCTTGTTAACCTTTGGTGCAAAACCTGTGGCTCCACCTGGCTGTCAGCATATGACATACAAAGACAGCAGATCAAATGCAAATACATTGTGATGCCATACCATAGGAGATGTACACTAAAATGGGAGAGGGGCATAGAGCCTGAAATTGAACAAGAATGAGATGAAAAGATAACATCACAAAAACTCTACAAGAGCATGATGTGACTGTGGTAGAGGCGGCCTAAGAACAATAAATATAACCCTGTATCTCCCTCAACACCTAGTAATAAGAGAGAAAGTGAAGAAGAAGATGTTTAATCTCTTTATCTGTTTAAGCATAAGAAGTTGTTTAATCTGTGTGTCTGTTGAAGCCTTCTCTGTAGTTCTCCAGAGCTGTCTATCTCCAGTCTGTTGTCTATAATCCTACACTACAGATCACAACAAAATTCTACACACTCGAATGGCTTAGGTTGGATAAGTGTCATGGCTGCATGTGGCTTCCTGGATTTGCACCTGGTTGATTCTCATTCAGGTGTTTATCTTGCAGATTTCTTCACAGCATGAATAACCATCTTCAGGTCCATTTTAACTCTCTTGATCCAGAAACCATCGGAATTAACAACGGCATAACTTCCATACACCAAACAAACAATTTATGAATATTCACCACAATGTTTTTCATTGCAAACAAAAACCTGATAAAAATGTGCTGTTCATAACACACTCTGTGCTTGCCCTCTATTTTAACAGATGAGTACGGCTGTTATTTTTATTAGAATTAGTTGCCATTTGTCATAATTGTCCTGTTGTGCCGTAATATATCAAATACAGGTCTCTCTATTACCACCAAATGCATCTGCCATCATCCTCACAATGAAACAATGATCTTTTTGTATTAATTGTCTGTATTTTGCAGCAAGTTCCTCATAACAAACAGAAATTTGGCATCCAGGTCTAGCTGCATTAGTAATCATTTCCACACCATTTTTGAATCGTGAAGACCACATGAAAATCTGTGCATGAGGTAAACAATTATGCCCATAAACTTGCTGCATCAAGTCGGCTGCCTCAGTGGCGCTTTTTTCTGAGTTTTAAACAGAATTTAATGCTAGCTTTTTGCTCCATGCTGATTGGATAACAATGCACCTTTAACTAGGTGAACAAAATGGTGGCGTTTTTGTTATTTGCTTGTTGTCTTGACTATAAAAAAATCAGTCTCATTACTTAATTGTCAGACCTTGTATGACATGCAGCAACTAACTATAAGATAGTCTCTCAAACTCCAGCAAACAGCTACTGAAATGTGACTTACTTTTCTTCTGATACTACATTCCTGAGCTCAGCATCCATCACATTCTTCATGAGACTCTGCACCTCAGGCAACTGGGCTGTAAGTCAAACAAGCACCGACAGTGAGAATCCAGAAACTATTTTATTTCAAAATTTAGCTACTCTGAAAAAAAAAAAAAAACCCAGATACATTATTGCAGCTGTTGTTTCCAATGTATGCCCCTGACAAGGCTGAAGTCTTGACCATCATCATGTAGCAGGTCCTTTGCAGAACGTCGCTCTCATCACAGTCTGCCTGAAAGAAACTCGGTCTCTCGCCAGTTCTCCCACCTCATGTACTTTTCATATTCAAGGAGTCACTTATATCCTGTGCCCATCTTCGTGTCGGTCGGCCCCTGCGCCTCCTTCCTGGAACCCTGCCTTCTGCTAAAATTTTTTCCAATCCGTTGTGGCGCTTGATATGACCAAAATATTTCAGCTTCCGAGAAAGGATGCTGTTTATTAGCCAATCTTCCCTGATGTTCAGATCTTTCAAGATGTCAATATTTTTTCTCTTCTCTGTCCAAGATATTCTGAGAATCTTTCTATAGCATTTCAGCTCAAAAGCCCCTATTCTAAAGTCTTGACCACTCAGTGTATATTCCTTACAAGTCTATAATCCTTTGCATTAATGATATCATGTAATGCTATTCAATGTATACAACTGCAGTGTATGATTCTTAAGCATCTCCTCTACAAGACATCAGAAATCAACTGCAGCATTTGCTGGCTGTTGGGTTTCACCAGGCAATTAAAATGTATGCTTCAGTGTTATTATTTTATTCAAATCAAAAAATAAAGGCACACTTCAGATTTTAACTTTTCACTAAACGTCAAATCAGACTGGCCATCAATAACATGGTGGCTGAAGAAGATAATTCTTCTTCGTTTTTGTGTGTGTGTGTTCTCCGACAGTGAACTCCAGTGAAAGGTGCTGGCTGTTCCTTCCCTGCTGGACTTTGTATTGCTTCCAGATCTTGAGTTGTGTGTGTGTGTGTTCTCCGACTGTGAACTCCAGTGAAAGGTTCTTGTTGTTCCTTCCCTGCTGGACTTTGTATTGCCTCCAGATCTTGAGTTTTGTGTGTGTGTGTTCTCTGGCTGTGAACTCCAGTGAAAGGTTATGGCTGTTCCTTCCCTGCTGGACTTTGTATTGCTTTCATATCTTGAGTTTTGTGTGCACATCTGTTTTATAGACCTGGCTTATTTATGTGCAGACTTTTGGTTCCTCAACTCTTAGGCAGATGCACTCTGACTTTGAATCTTTCAGTAGTTCACTTTTAGGTCATGCTAGTTAGGGTTTAGTGGCACTATTCTCTCTCCCTCCCCACAGAACCACTGTAAGGATAAAGAAGATAAAAAAGCTAGGTAATGTCCAGTATAATGCACAACTGACCTTTAAGGTCAGCCAATGATTTGGTGATGGTGCTAAGAAGTAGTGCCATGCCTTCAACATCTGATGTATTCACACGACATTGTCTGGAAATCACATCTGTTCTGAGTTCTTCCACACTTGCTTCAAGGTCACTGCAAAGAAATAAATTAAAAAAAGAGTGAAAATCATGTTAAGTTTTACGTTATTTCCATACAGCTTGTAGTGTAGTGTTGATGCAGTGTAAGTGTACATATTTCTTTTCTCACTGTGTTGTGAAAAATCCTGTAGAACGTATTCAGCAGTGAGTTTGCCAAGTCCATATGCACATCCTAGTGAAGGCAGCACTTGAAGCCTATGCATGTGTTTATTCAGCTGTAATTCTTTATCTTCTTGTTCATATTTATCTCCCTATTTACTCAAACTGATATACTCCAAACATAGGACCTACAGATGTCCCAGATTCTGCACCCCACAGAAAAAAAAAAAACCTTGCCATTATTGCCTCTGTTTACCATATAACCATTTCATTGGCAACCAGGTCGCCCAGCGAGTCACCAGTAGATGACTTTGTCGCCGGTCAGAACAGTATTTGGGTCTGTCTCCCTTGATCGCATCAACACTGTAGGAGTCTATTTCAGGGCTCTTGGTGGCGTACAATACTAAGCTATTTTATATGGCGCACATAACGTAGTCACAATTATAACGTAAAGCTCCCCCTTCAGGGATGCCGGCTGAACGTGACAATTTTTGTGTTTCATCTAAGCACCTACCTATTTAACCATTTCTGTCATGTGAGCTGTGGCTAGTGGGGGGGGGGGGGGGGGGGGGGGAGGTCTTTCTGCCAGAGGACTGTTAGAGCTGATCCTATGTGCTGAGTTGCAAATTCTCCATGGGGACTGTGCTTCGCAGGTAAGTGAAGTCAATTACTGTTTCCAAAGCTACATTATCTATTACTATAGGTCTTTCACCTTTAAGGTTTATCTCCAGCAGTCTGGTTTTATTGACACTGATTCTTAACCCAGGCTGTATTTCTATGAAAAACAAGAAAGGTGACAAACTGCACCTTGTCGGACTCCTGATGTTACCCTGAAGTATTCTTATCAAGATAGCAGGCTGGAAAGATTCACAGTAATGGCTGGCATCGCTCTTAGACTGAACTAGGATTTTAAATGTAGATCCGGATAATTGTCCTAATTTTTAGAGAAGAAAAAAAGCAGTGTGTGAGTAATCTAGTCTCTGACCCCATTACTGTGTGACCCAGATAAGTTTATACCTATCACTTCACACTCACACAGATAGAGCCAGACAGTTTGGAATCATAATATTTTTTTTTCAGAACGTCTTTGAAGAAGGAGTGAGGAAGAAAACTAGCTCCCACATGTCATTATTCTGCTATGAACCCATTCAGCATCTTCTGCGATGGAGTTACCCTTGGTAAACTATGAACATGTAACATTGTTTGCTTGTACCTGAGTTCTTTCTCCACTCGTTCCTTGTCAGTAATGTAGTTCCTTCTTGCATTTGTTGCCTCATTTCTTTTGTAGAAGATCACTTGATTTTGTGCTGCAGGCACCGAACCAAGAACTTTCTGCAGATTACAGATACATGCATTAATAATAAATAAAGTATATACATAGAAGACAACATCACAGTAACTGCAACACATTAAATTATCATTATACATATTTTCTGAATGAAAAACAAATAATCTGATACATGAACTGAGCATGCAAACTGCAAAATTTACTTTTAAAAGCCAGGAAAAAAAAACAATAGGAGGGAATCTTGCCTATTGATCTTTCAATGAGAGAATGCCAGACCCAGGTATGTAACTCAGAGTATCAAATTAAAAAGGGGCTATTGAGACATCATTTTCTCTCTTTCTTAGAAACTTTTCTTCAGTGTTTCACCATTTTACTAGAAAAGAAAATTTGTGTTGCTACTCCAATTCAGTGTCCCAGTTTGATCAAATCCTTCACAGTTTTTCTCCCCTGTTGTCATACCTTTTCATTCTAGTGGAATAATGTTCATTAGTTATCATGGGATGGGGACACTGATACAAGGTGTAGGTGTGTGTGTGTGCATGTGCTTGCATGTGCATGTGTGTTAGTGTACCTGTGTGTGCTTGAGTGTGTGTGTGAGGGTGTGAGTGTGTGATCATATGAGTGAGTGTGTGTATATGAGTGTGAGTGTATAAGTGTGTGTATATGAGTGTGTACGGGTGTGTGAGTGCATGTGCGAGTGTTTATCTGTGTGTGTGTATGGGTGTGTGGGAGGGGATGTTTCAACTGGATGTGTGTACCACTGTGTACTAGAATAATTGTTTTCCCAGGTTGAGGACCAACAGCTGTCTGCAATAGCACACACAGTGTAGTTTAAAGCTTAGGTTTAAAATAATCATCAAAGCCTTACCGAGGCTCAAACACATACTTCATGATGTGTGCAGTGACATTCTGTTTCCTTGGCCAGGTAGTCCACACCAATGTAGCCTATGTTTCCAAAAAGCAAATACTTTAAAAAAAAAAAAAAAACTAACTCTATTACCTTAATTTTTATGAAAGCCAACATGAATTCTTCCCTCATGGCCTCCATATTGAGTTGTTGTTGCCTTCGAAGGATGTGTAGATCATTTTTCAGTTGGGCCAGTTTTACACTAACCTCATTCTGAGCACTCAAGGGAGTAGACTCCCTTGAATTCAACCCCGATGACCTCTGATTTTCATATCCATGGATGTCTGACAGACCTGAAAAAGTAATAAAAAGTACAATTAAATACAATAAAAATATAATTTAAAAATTTTTGTCAACAATTACAAGAAAATGCACATCATAAACATTGTAGAAGATGATTATGTTTGAAGAATCTATATTCAAAAATGTATTCACTTTTACAACTTCATTTATTTCCTTCAGGGATCTGCAACCAATAATTGCCTTGTCAGCCATTTTTTTTTGGGGTGTAAATGACAATAGCGCACAAGTAAAAATAACATGTCTTTATTTTGCAAATGTATGTTTAGTCAATTTGCATGTTCACCCCTTAACTTTAATTAGAAAACAATTTCACTGTTTAACTCTACTAGACTGCTGTACCGCTTTTTCGGGAATTTCCTAATTTGCTGATGTACCTAATTTTCGTACTAATTTGTGTACTATGTGAAAAAATGTGTCACAAACTAAAAATAACCAACCAATCAGGTCAAACCTCATTAGTGATTTCAAATGGCTGCCTCGTGTGTTTTGATTTACTTTGTGTGGTCTAACGTTAAAAATTTCAGAAAATTCACAAGGAAACAAGTGGCTGATGAACCAAGCACTCTGACAGGAAAGTGAAGTGGGTATAGGTTTTTCACAGTCCATCAGGTGATTGATACTTTGATTGATTCAGACTCTGAGAAGTCAGAATTGCATGAAGAATACATTCCCAGTTCAAGTGACACAGGCAGGTAGGGCTCGAGTGATGAGGAGAAGAATCTTGAACCTTATAAATTTTGAACTAGATCGATAGTAAGAGTAGGGGGGTGTTTCTCAAACAGCAACATCCAGTGCTTACTTTGTAAAATGAGGCTTATCCTGCTGGGTGGATTGGCACAAAAAGGGAGAATATTGGCGCTAGATGAAAGGTAAATCTATTTTCTACAACGTCTCCAAGTTTCTTCTTATTGTAGCCACTTGTTTGCATGTAACTAATATTTTTGTATATTAAGTTGGTTTTTTCGCATTAATGCCCAGAACCTCATGTATAGGGACAGTTAGGTCCAGGGCCACAGGTCTGGTAGGGTTTCAACTTTACTTGTGCACAGCACATATACAAAGGCTCACTTACTGTAATTTCTATTTAAGAATAATATTCAAGAATTAGTTAGTCCATATTTAACAATGTATAAACCTGTCTGCACTCAAACATAAAAGCCAATCTGTACACCAAAAAAAAAAAAATCAGTTATTTATTATTTAATTACTGGTAAATGTTTTAAAATAAAGGTATCCCCATCTGGTTTATGGGACCTTTTATTGTGGCAGGTGGGAGGGGTGGGAGGGGGGGGGGGGGGGGGGGTCTGCTGAGATAAGTTGGGGCGAAAGATGCAGAAATCACAGCCCAGATGTAAGCCACAACACAATGTACTATCTGCCCTTTTTAGGGTGACCATAAAAGAAAAAGAATTTAAAAAAATGAAAGTGATTCTACATTAAAAAATTTTTTTTAATTGTTTCATTTAGAAGCTACAGAGTATGCTCTGTTTGACTGTTTGTTGTTTCCCTACTATTACCAGTCCTCAAGTCTAAAAATGGGAATGGGAGGGTACGAGCGCGGGGGGGTGGGGGGGGGGGTGGGGGAGAGTGAAATCATAGAGATTCTAACAACAATACAAGCATACACATGCAAAAACGAATATGTCCAATAATTCATGTTCTCACCAAAATAAAAAAAAAAAAAAAAAAAAAAAAAAATAATAATTGTATGCTGCCTAATTTTCTGAGTTTATCTCAGGTATAGAATATCAAAGAAATGTTCTGACTGTTGCAGTTACATCCATTTAGCGGTCAAGACAGTAACGGGAAAGTGCTCAATTATGACCCTTTAAAAAAGTTTGATTTGGTTGACAGTTGCAAGTGGCTGACTGGAAGCAAATTTCCATTGAGTTAGTTAACATAGATAAACTATGATTACAAACACCAATCCTACAATGACATTAGCTGAAAAAGACACAGCACATAAGAATGGAACCTGAGTACAATTATGTTAATTCTGTTAATAACAGAATCAATCAGTCGAGGACATTTCTACTGCTAATTTTATTATGCAACATGAAACAACACCATTACAAAACCAACTAAATAAGAACATATTAGACTCACTACTGACAAAGTAAAGCAAGAGTTTGACAGAGTTAGGAAAACACACACACACTTAGGTAAGTTCTTGTTAGTTATTCTTTCCTCTTGGCCCTAGGCAGTGCATAGGGCAGAGATCATAGCTCACCATGTCTGGTGGTTTGTTGCCACCTGTTGTAGGTCTTTGATATTCATTAGGCTAATTGTTGAGATTTCCCTGATGATGGTTCTATGCAGAGTCTCTCTTGGTCTTCCCCCTTTTTTTTCTCCCTTCCAGTGCCAATTTGAGGGCTTGATAAGGTTTTTGTACAGAAATTAATTTCAAATAAAATAAAATAAATGTTTGCGTGCTGAGTATAAGGATGTTTTTAATTTTCTTTCACAGTGGAACATAGCCTTGTCCATGCCTGATTGGATTTTGCAGGTGCAAATTTATACGGTCTCATGCCAATCGACTTTAGTCATTTTCATGTGACTAAGAATGGCTGGTTACAGTGTTAAGATTCTTCGCTTTTTTGATTTCCTCATTAACTGTATGTTAGTTCCAGGGTCCCAGTTTAGAAGGAACAATAATTAACTCACTGCCTCCGCAACAAACATGTTGTAAAAGGTGACCACTTTGGGATTCTCCTTCAAAGTCAGAGTACATCTGCCTGAGAGGCAAGGAACCAGCAGTCTGCATACATGTAAGCCAGATTTGTAGAATGGAAATGCAAATAAAACCCCAATTCTGGAAAAAGACCAAAGTCCAGAAGAGGAGGAACAACCTGGACTCTGACTCGGTTTATGGCTGGTGAATGTGAACAAGATAAGGATTTCATCAAGGGCTATGGTTAACATCCAGTGGAATCTCAAACAGACTTGATCAATGAAGGCTTAGCTGAAAGCATTCTTATATTAAGTACATATGATGAGTGAACTTCGAAGTATTGGATTTGTTTTATGAATAATATGTAGAATATGTTTTCAGTTTAGTGAGTGTGATCATTGAAATTTGAAGTTTATGATGTTTTCACTTCACTAAAAGTTGAAATTTATATATTGTTTGTTTGTTTGAGTACTGGATCAGTGAATGCTGAGGTGGGTGATATGATGTATTACAATTAACTTTTTGAGTCCAAGGGGGTTTAGCATCAGAGGCCCAAAGGGTGGTAATGCAATTTTTTAATTTCACAAGTGTAAAACTTTAAAACAGTAACCAGGGATTTTAGGGGAATAATAACAGAATACTGCTTCAACAAATAATTGTGTTAGTAAATAAATATGATTAAATAAACATACAGTATGTTTACATATATTAGTAAAATGAAAATAATAATTGTTTCCACTTATCACCATGGCACTCAAGAAGAACTCATTAGATATATTCAAAATTAATCCCAAATGAACAGGAACCACTTAGAAATGTATAAGTAAAATATACACTCAATCTTTACATTAGATTTTTTTCAAGAGAATCTTTTGAAGCATCATAACAGACCATCATTATTTGGTAAAGAGAACTGACTTTCCAAAACATTTGGTATCTTCACACAAAACAAAGTTTATAGAACACTCAATTTGCCTGTAATTGTGTAGCTTTGTTCCTAAATAATAAGGGGGATAGCACTAGAGCTAACTGACACTGAAGACCGTCACATTTTCACTATTTATTTGGATTTTGCCAGCTGATTTTGCTATCGCTGTAACCTTCTCATGAGGTACACATTAGACCTATCCCTCATGAAAGTTTGACTTTCAAAGTGACTGAAATAAGTCTTATTCCCAATGTTATCTATATAACTTAAGATAAATCTAATAAATATGTGCTTTATCTAAATCTGAGGCTTCTAAAGCCATAAATTGTGTTGGCATGCACGCAGAATCCTGCTTGGTGGCCATATTGTCTTCAAACAAACACTTAGTAACTCGGTAAACCTCGCAAATATACTATATTTTCGGCTTTTAAACCACATTTACAAATGAGCACACCTGATATCAAATACAAAGAACTCGAAAGGAAGTTGAAATTGAGCGGTCCGTGTTTATAACTGGTCAGTGGTAAATTTAAAACTTACACTTGTCACCCGTCGATTGGGCCTGCTGGGTTGTAATCAATTAGTGCATGATGTGTTTCCTGGGACTCAAAGAGTTAAGTATCAATGAAGGTTAAGGTAGGTTATGGGTTACATTTAAGTGATCAATGATGGTTGAGTTGGGCGATATGTTGTGTTACATTTAAGTGATCAATGATGGTTGAGATGGGTGATATGTTGTGTTACATTTAAGTGATCAATGACGGTTAAGGTGAGTGATATGTTGTGTTACATTTAAGTGATCAATGATGGTTGAGGTGTGTGATATGTTGTGTTACATTTAAGTGATCAATGATGGTTGAGATGGGTGATATGTTGTGTTACATTTAAGTGATCAATGACGGTTAAGGTGAGTGATATGTTGTGTTACATTTAAGTGATCAATGATGGTTGAGGTGTGTGATATGTTGTGTTACATTTAAGTGATCAATGATGGTTGAGGTGGGTGATATGTTGTGTTACATTTAAGTGATCAGTGACGGTTGAGGTGTGTGATATGTTGTGTTACATTTAAGTGATCAATGATGGTTGAGATGGGTGATATGTTCTGTTACATTTAAGTGATCAATGATGGTCGAGGTGGGTGATATGTTATGTTACATTTAAGTGATCAATGATGGTTGAGATAGGTAGTATGTTGTATTACATTTAATTGATCAATGATGGTTGAGATAGGTCATATGTTATGTTACATTTAAGTCATCAATGAAGGTTGAGATAGGTGATATGTTGTGTTACATTTAAGTGATCAATGATGGTTGAGATAGGTGATATGTTGTATTACATTTAAGTGATCAATGATGGTTGAGGTGAGTGATGTGTTGTGTTACATTTAAGTGATTAATGAAGGTTGAGATGGGTGATATGTTGTGTTACATCTAAGTGATTAATGACGGTTGAGGTGGGTGATATGTTGTGTTTCATTTAAGTGATTAATGACGGTTGAGGTGGGTGATATGTTGTGTTACATTTAAGTGATCAATGATGGTTGAGGTGAGTGATATGTTGTGTTGCATTTAAGTGATCAATGACGGTTGAGGTGGGTGATATGTCGTGTTAAATTTAAGTGATCAATGATGGTTGAGGTGAGTGATATGTTGTGTTGCATTTAAGTGATCAATGATGGTTGAGGTGAGTGATATGTTGTGTTACATTTAAGTGATCAATGATGGTTAAAATGGGTGATATGTTGTGTTACATTTAAGTGATCAATTATGGTTGAGGTGAGTGATATGTTGTGTTACATTTAAGTGATCAATGATGGTTGAGGTGAGTGATATGTTGTGTTACATTTAAGTGATCAATGATGGTTGAGATGGGTGATATGTTGTGTTACATTTAAGTGATCAATAATGGTTGAGATGGGTGATATGTTGTGTTACATTTAAGTGATCAATGATGGTTGTGATGGGTGATATGTTGTGTTACATTTAAGTGATCAATGGTTGAGGTGAGTGATATGTTATGTTACATTTAAGTGATCAATGATGGTTGAGGTGAGTGATATGTTGTGTTACATGTAAGTCATCAATGATGGTTGAGATAGGTGATATGTTGTGTTACATTTAAGTGATCAATGATGGTTGAGATGGGTGATACGTTGTGTTACATTTAAGTGATCAATGATGGTTGAGGTGAGTGATATTGTTGTGTTACATTTAAGTGATCAATGACGGTTGAGGTGGGTGATATATTGTGTTACAGTTAAGTGATCAATGAAAATTCAAGACCTTGTGACAGAGCAACATGGTCACCTGTGGGAGCAATGTTTGAAACAGAAGGGATCTCTCCTTTGTGTTCTGAAATATGGTAAGTATTAAACACATTTACAAACATGTTTAGGTAATGGAGGAAATTATAAAGAATAAAAAAACTAAAATTAAAAAACAAAAGCTGTTAATTAACACTTTCTTCTCTCCTTGTGGGTTCCGGAGCTACTTACTACAATCTTAAAGGATGCCCACTTGTACCAAACACCATGAAGGAAACTAGTGTCGAGACAGCAGGAATGTTGCAAGGAAAAACAATGCTACTGAACGAAATGCAAACAAAGACTAACAAAGAAGATGCTGTATGCATAATGATATGTCAGAAGCTTGCATCAAACACCATTGGCAGTACATGAGGCAAACGTCTTGGAACAGTCTAGACAAGTGTTTTCCAACTGGTGGGCTGCTAAAAATCTCCACCTAATTATGTAACAGGCTAGAGGGGGAAGTTTTCATCTTCCTTGAATGCAGTCTAGATAATTTAACACTTCAAGACACATTAACCAATCCACACATGCACACACCAACATGTAGCATGCTGACACACAAGCAGGACAAAACAAAACTGTCTGGTCAGTCTATGTGAGATACCAGTGCTAAACATACACAGGCTGTTGAAGTGGTGGCACTGTTCCCATTCTGTTAGAGCCTCTGGCCTATGTTGAACAATACGGAAATATGCTTAAAGCCTAATAACATGCTTGGAGCCTGATAATATATGAACTTGCCTGTAACCTGACAATATATGAACATACCTGTAACCTGCATATATGAACATACCTGTTACCTGACAATATATGAACATACCTGAAAGAATAGCAATAGAAGGACATGCCTGGAATTTGGTTCATAAAATAACTGAAACCTGGCAATATGCAAACATATCTAAAACCAGATTACATCTATGGAAGTGGACAATACAGAACATGCTAGGGATCTGGTAACAATTGAAAATCCCTAGAGCCTGACAATATGAGGTGATCTAGCAACACACCCCCCCCCCCCCCCCCCCCCCCCCCAATAAAAAAAAAAAAAAAAAAAAAAAAAAAAAAAAGAGAATATATAGAATCTCACAATAAAAAATGAAGTTGAATGTTTTTGTTCTAAGCTGAGAATATCTAATGAAAAGAAACTTGTAAGTTGTCCTGGAAACTTGTAAGTTGTCCTGGAAACTTGTAAGTTGTCCTGGAAACTTGTAAGTTGTCCTGGAAACTTGTAAGTTGTCCTGGAAACTTGTAAGTTGTCCTGGAAACTTGTAAGTTGTCCTGGAAACTTGTAAGTTGTCCTGGAAACTTGTAAGTTGTCCTGGAAACTTATTACCATTTTTACTCAATGACTACTGAACTTGCTTTCCAAAGACAGTGGTTTGAACTGAAAATCACTTTTTGGAATCATTGTTTTATTTTGATGATTCGGGCATTGATTCCTTTGACTCGTTTCTTTGATATGTTTAACAGTATTTCTTTGTCAACTAGCTCAAACACAATGACCAGAGAGAATACCATGCAAATAGTTTTTGGTTTTAGCCGCCTTGTAACTGAGTGGACAGAACATGAAAGCCAGAAATGCACCTGGAAATAACCACACCCTCAAAGCTGTCCATGTCGCAGAAAACAATAATATGTTAATCAAAATTCCACAACATGAGGACATGCATAGGGAATTTAGGCAACATGGTGCACAAATGCAACAGAGATTAAAAAAATAAACATACAAAGTTGGAGAGAGCTTTCCAGTTTATAATCATCACAGGAGCAGCGCTATCATGCTTGGCCATAATGAGATGGTCGAACAAGGAGGAGTAGAGACAAGAGGAGAAATCAAGGAAGGTTAAAGCCAAGAGAAGGAGAGAGATATGTTTATCCAATAGACTGGCTCTGAAGAACAATGCCCACAGAAGGTATTTCACAATCAGTATGTAACAGAAACATTCATTTCTAAACTGCAACATCTGTGGAAGAAGCTTGAGAACATGATAGGTGTGTACAAGAGACATGTGATGTCTGCACATTAAAAATGAGAATCATCAAATATTGTGCATGCTCAACTCTTCTGTATGGTGTAGAAACCTGGACAAAGAACAAGTAACCAGAAAATTGAAATGAATCTCTGGAAATGTGGATATTCAGAAAAACAGGCTATATTTCATGGACACAGATTTGGTTGAAGTGAGGCAGTGTTTAAATACTCAAACAATATGGCTACTTACTGCTAGAAGAGGATGCTGGGAGTGTGCCAGAGCCATCTGAAGTTGTGCTGCCTAAACTACGAGGTCCCGATTCACGTACGGTTCCATCCTTCTGGTAGTGAACCCAGGCTGTCAGGTTGGCTAACTGTTGCTCCATTTTCTCAATGCGGTTTCTGTTACATTAAAAAGGATACAAATTATTTTACAAAAACAAATGCTAATAAATTGCATACATTCAACACCTACTTTACTGAGGCAATTTTTGTGAAAAAGTAGTTCACCTGCCTATGGATATCTTCTTCTTCTTCACCAGCTGTAAACTTGAGTGGAAAGTTTTGGTTGTTCAACCACTTCTATACTATGGTATTATTCCAGAATCTGAGTTTTGCATGAACATCCATTTTACAGATCTGGCTTATTTGTATGCAGAATGTTGGTTCCTCTCCTTTAAAGAAGATGCATTCTGACATTAAAAGAAACTCACCTAATCAGTCATCTTGTATGACTTTCTTTTTATGAAGGCAGTGGGACTATCCCTCCCCCCCAGAACGGGGCCTGGAACCCACACGGGAACCTATGGATAGGAAGGTCATCAGAGGTGAAGACATGCCAGTTTTATATGTGCACATGATACAGTTTGGCAGGTGGTGTTGTTTATGTGTAGCCTGCTTTTGTATACATACACAAACATACAGTAATTTGTGCGTCAACATCCAACATAATCTGAGCATGAATGACATTTGGCTCATAAACAGTATCCTGTCTCAAAAGCAGAGATAGTTGCTCATTTTTCAATGCCTCAATGGCCTAGCAAGGATGGTGATGGAAGGTTAAGTTTCCAGAAAAAAAAGGCAGAGACACACCTCTGCAAAGACTGGTACAACATATTAAAGATGCATTACTTGAAAGCACATAGGATTGGAGAATTGGCTGGAGAAAGAGAGACTTTCAGGAGGGCTGTGATGAGAGTGATGTTTTGTAAAAGTTACCTGCTGATTAATGATGATGAATTTTGTGCATGATGTTACAACATCTTGTAGACAACATGAAGACACAGGAACATGATGATGATGATGAAACGGGACCCTGAACTTACTAGGGGAAATAAAAAGCAAGCTGGAATGACAAAATGTAAAAAGAAAATGATATTTTAAAAAAAAAGTATGCATCATGTAGAAAATGAAATAGAAACCAGATGTAAAGAGGAAAATACATGAAATATAAACAAGATGTAAAAAAGGAAAATACATGAAATAAAAAAAGACGTAATGAAGAATCTACAAGAACAACAAGACTTTAAAAAAAAGTTACAGACAGAAAAAAAAAAAAAAAGGAGAACATAAATGAAATATTCAGGCTCACTGAGAAACATGCCTATGATTTCCAGGATACCTTGTCATGTCATCTGCTGGTGTGGTTGAGCGAGACAGTTCTGTTCCACCTCTATCAGCTGGTGGGATGTGATAGTTCTGTGTGTGTTGAGCTCCGGCCTCCACCACTGCTCCAGGTGTCACTGGAGCAAATGCCAGGGAATGGCGGTTAGCATTACTTCCCCTTGATGAGTCTCCTGAAAAAAAAAAAAAGTGAACTATTTCAAAGATGTTCTTGTTACACTGAAATGCTGTGATATTGTAAAGCCACAATGTGATGTTTCATTTGACATGGTATACACAAAATCATCTTGCTATGTTATAGTAATTAACTAGAACAGAATGGAAGAATATTGTGAATATAATGTGACATACACAAAATGATGATGACAGTAATATATTAACATTCACGCAACATTTCAGAATAAAAAAAAAAAAAAAAAAAGACATCAGCATCACTGGTAAAGCCACTGTCTTCCTTCTCCTGTAGCACAGCCCCTCAGATAACACATGCCAAGTCAATTTGTGCCTTGCCATCAAGGGGGGCTAACCCCATGTCCATCACAGGCCTTCAAATAAAACATTCCCTTAGAGGATTCTACAGAAAACTGGCTTCCTGAGTGGCTATTTCTGCTGTGTATACAACATCTGTTAAATTTATCCACTTGTGATTTCTCCTTCCAACATTTGCTTGCCAACAAACTTTCTGGGTTCGAAAGTGTTAACATCATGTAGGTCAGGTCAGGTCAGATCAATGCTTCCCTTTGAGATTGTTGTCCATAGGAGTAATACAGTCAGACAGGAGATATCTCAGGAATCCTATTCAACTGTACAATACAGTTATCAGTCAGTGGTAGTCAACATGCCCTGGATCGCAAATTGTTCCTCCCCACGACGCTTAATGGCAGAAGTGGTTTATGATGATGATGATGATACAGTTATCTTTGTGCACCCCAAAGCTTAAGAAGTACCCTGGGAATTAACAAATCAGTGTAGGTCAAATGTTATCCTTCATATGAGGACAGATAATATACACACAAGGAGAATGACAAGAAAATAATAGAAAACATCAAGTCAAACATACTAATGTCCGAGCCTGGGACAACAGCTCGTTGTGGGTGTGCTATGGTTTGAGCTCTAGTGCTTCGTGCAATATATGTCTGCTGGGTTGGGCCTGGTGATGATGGGGGATAACCTTGGTATGTTGCAGGCGATTCATAAATTCCAGATGGATGCTGTCCCCTGTAGGTGCCTGGTCCTACTGTCTCGTAGTAGTTGCTTTCACCTCTGTAGCCAGGAAGTACCTGTCGGTTTTCAGGAATTGGATTAAGTGGCAGACGCTCTGGTGTAGGCTGACGATCAGGCGAATGTGAGAATCTGCAACAGGACACAAACATAAAGACATATCAAAAATGAGTAACATATGGTAACAAGGCAGTATTTATAGAAGAAGAGTGGCAGGCTGAGAAGATTTACTTCTGATATGTCATGCTGGAGACAAGGGGTTTGAATCCTCGATAAGGTGATGGACTTTTTTTTGGTTCTTTTTGGGGGGGGGGGGGGGGGGGGGGGGGGGGGGTTAAATTAATTATCCTAAACAAAACCATTTGTGCCAATTTGTCAAGCTAAGTAACCCTGAATCCTCACTCTCAAGATTTCCTAGTCCAACACCACCCCTGTAAAATGGTAAATCACATAAAAATAGATAGCTAATATTCTAATGAAAAACAAACAGATCCTACGAAAACTAGTATACTTTTACCTTGCATGAATGAATGAATTAATTAATGAATGAACAAACGAATGAATGAATGAATGGGCCAAGAAATGACAATACATCTGTGACATTCTCACATCTGCTGCATCCTCCTCTTCAGCAGCCAATAAAGATCAGCTGCCATAATGATAGTGCCAGTGATGCTCTGACTGAAATTCTGACTGTTGTGTGTGTGTGTTACTCAGTGAGTATTGTCCAGAGCATCTATCTGCTCAGTCCACACTTATTCCACTTTATTCTGTCTGTTGTGCCCTTTAATCCTGCCTCAAAGGGCTCTCACCATATTTGCTTCATCATAAAGTAGATCGCCATCTAGAGGACTGGCAGCAGCTAGGCAAGCAGTCAGCACATTTCTCCACACCAGCACTTGTTTTGGATAAATAACCCAAGATTTTCTATTACAGAAAAAAAATGAAAATTTAGCAATGGTTTATATTTTTGCATCGGTTGGCGTCCGAGGCTTAGGCATTGTGAACATGATTTGTAATGCCAGGGTGCCCCGTTCAATCTCAGCTGCAGACAGTTTGGCAGCAGATTGTCTTTCACTGGTTTTGACAGTGGTAGAGTCGACCCTTAAAAAAGCAATGGCAAACTACTGAATGTAAATCTGCCTACAAAAACCAGAACAGCCAACTTTTTGCATCAAGTTATTATATAAAATGTAATGTGCCAAGTGCGTTGGTTTCGACAGTGGTATCAAGAAAGCCGGCCATCCAGAAAGCAATGGCGAACTACTGGACATAAATTGCCTAGAAAAACCAGCGGCTGTTGGGGTTTGTTCTGCGACGTCCTGTAAAGAATTAACCATATATATAATATATCCCTGTAGGGTGTGAGGGGCGGGAGGAAGGGGGGGGGGGATTATAGACCTACTGCCCATAAAAAAGCACGCCATGAAAGTGGTTTTAATTAGGGGTTTGCAAAATCAGATGTGTTGGGCTGAAAGGTGGAGATATCATGGCTTGACTATAAATCATATCTACTGCCCTTGTAAAGGGGGAATGCACAAAAAGATTTACAATAATGTGATGGGGGGGGGGGGGGGGGGAACTGCAAAATCTCTGAGAAGGACAACTCTAATCAAATGGAACTGATTTATTCATGTGAGTTGCGTACCTTTGTCGAGTTGCTGCCCCTGCTGAAAGTGATCGGGGCCTGTCAGAAGCTTCTGGTGTTCTTGACCGTGACCTTCTCTCCAGCTCCCACATGTTGGATTGCTCCTGCATCATGTCAGGGTAGACCTGGGCAGCTTGCATTGGAAGCGGCTGGGATTTTGCATACTGAAAGGAATTACATTAGCTTTGTGAGTTCAGATTCTGTGTTTGTAAAATTGCTGCAATAAACTCACAGATGCTAGTCATAAATGTGTGGGTCCTAGCATGCCTACAGCTGGGGCTTGATAACAGGAAATTATTGATGATATCTGATAACACTGAGCATGGCTGGATTATAAGCATACACAAAAAAGAATATAAAAATGTGTATCCTTCTTCTTCATATTCTCCGGCTGTTAACTCTGCCAGAAAATTTTGGTTTTTCATCAATTTCAGAACTCTGGTCTTGTTCGAGAATGTGAGTTTTGTGTGTACATCCATTTTACAGATCTGGCTTATTTATATGCAGACTGTTGGTTCTAGGCATCTTAGGCACATGCATTCTGATTTCAAAGTAAACCTCCCTAATTCGTTGACCCTTAAGACATGCTTGTTATGGGACAGTTGGTCTATGTCCTATAATGCAAAGGGAGAATTAACAAATCAATAAAAAATTCAGCAGACAACGCTTCAAAGTCATTACCTAAAACTCAAGTTAAATAAAATATTAAATCCAGGATGGGCTTTTTCTGCCAATCAAAGTCTTTTCTCAGTAATGCTTCAACAGTGCACCTAAATTAATTTTTATTCTATTCTTATTATAATTAACAAAATGTGTCCAGCAATATGGAGTACCGAAGAAAGCAATATATCTATGTGGAAATCTTGTTTTTATTCTGTAACTCCAATTATTCAGATTTTGGCCATGAAGACGTATTCAATCATTTGTGTGAGTTGTTGAGCCCTCTGCAAGCTCTATTACAGCAGAGACCATGGCCACTGCCCAATGATTAGCCAGCATAATGTCTGTGGGATGACCCTCATGAAGCTGTAGAAGGTCTTAGAATACACTCTCAGCCATATCACATTGTACCCTCTCTATTCCCCTCAGTCTGTAATATACATAACACTGATATCTCTATAGAAACACTGTAATATGCCATCCTACTGTCATATGATGCAGGTTTTACTGCTCTAACGTAGTTATGAGAATGAAGATATATCTATCACTTGGTGCCTGCAGCTGAAAAACTCTGGGTACAAATTTTGAGAAAAACCAAGAATTGAATAATATTTTATCAGAGTGTACTATAACACAAATTAAATGCAACTACTCTACTGTTGTTTTATGGGTGTTAGACAAATTCTGCAGGCAGATGACAAATATAATGAAGATATCTTGAAAGATATCTTACAAGGAGAACTGGAGGTTCATATCAGTGGAGGACAGTTTTTACTGTTCTGGTGTGTAACAAAAAAAAAAAGACAAGAAATAAGCTAACAACAGGAAAGCTAGAGAAATACGAAAACAGGGGAGTCAAAAGATAAGATCATAGATGACCTGACATCATGGTTCAAAGGAATATCTGTGTTAGAAATAACCAGCAATACATTAGATTTAAAAAAAAAAAGGGCAAGTACCATGCAGCGCCAAAGTTCCAATAATGCAAACACAATTTGTGCACTGTATGTTGCCTGACATATTTTGCAGTTTCTCATGAGGTGGGTTATGAAAAAGTTATATCAGTTTTTAATGTAGCATGAAAACTAATTCTTTTCTACTGAAATACAAAAATCCCTTATAATTCATTCAACAAAAGATAAACTCACATGCATGCAAGTATTTTTGTGAAAACTGCTTGTTAGATCGCAACGATTCTTTTGCATGCAACCTTAGAATATCCATGAGATTATTGAAATTTTTTTTTTTCAATATGTAGATTTTTCTTCTTTACGAAATATATTTTTATCATGAAACCGTCTTGGTAGACTTTTGGAAGGTTTACTTTCATTAGTTTCAGGAAGTAACTGGTTTAGCAGGGGGTCAAAGGAAACCTACACAATTTCATGATTTTCTCGTGCAAAGTCGCACTCTTAATGGCCAAAATAAGATGTGGGTCAAGGTTCTTTAGTCAAAGGCGCATCCACAAATTAGTGTTGAGTTATTGTGTCATAAAGCTAGCTTATAAAAGCTGATTTAGACATCAATTTCAAAATGAATTTGAGATGCAAATTTACAATCATTCAGAAGCTTACCGTTTTACTTTCTTAGCACTTCCTCAGAGAATCTCAGATGGGTCATTTATATTGGGATATTAATGACCCAGAGAAGTGAATATGACTGGCGATTGGTCTGGATAGAGCATCATTTAACCGCTGGATTAGACAGGATACAGAGTACAATAATGCCAAGCAAGGGAGTAAAAAGAAAACTGATGACTTTGATGTAGTTGTCATTAGACATGAGATCTTAAAAATGTTAGAGACAAATAAATTTGGTACTCTCTGAAACTGAAATGAACATTGAAAATAGCAATACAGTATTGACATTTCAAAAAAGTCCTTCTCAAAAATAGTCATTTATTTCTTGAGAAAGTGTGTTGAACATGTGCTCCGAGAGGAAGACGCGTACTGGCACTGAGATGGATTACAATTTGTTCAGCCAGTAACAATTATCAACCTTTTGGGACCATCAGATTCGAAATGATTAAAACCATTTTTTTGATGAGTGGTTCAAAATCATCAACCCTTTAGGTTATATCTACAACTGCAACAAATACAATTCAATAGTCAAATGTGTCAGTCATAATACAATTGCTGTACAGTTAAGATACACTGTTGGGTCTAATGGTAACCGAAGGGGAATACTAACTGTTGTATACTAAGGACATGTTCACAATTGAACAAGGCTGACAGACTGGCTGAATGTGCACCACTGGGTGGTAAGTGCATACATGACAAGGCAGATGTGGTCAAGGCCCTTTGGGAACAAGTAATGAAGTCAGAAAATAAAATAGATTTTCATGGCCTGGAGAGAATGATACACCTGGGTGTGACCAGAGGGCCTGGCGGGCACACTACACTCAGAGGAATTTCAGGATGTACATATAATCAGACAGCGTCTGGTACCATTAGTATTGAAACTCTGAGCTGGCCACTGGAAATGGTGATGGAGTGCATATGGGAAATGCCCAGAGTTCTGTGATGTCTTTCTTGACACAGCTCAAATTAACTCAGTTGAACATAAATGACAACAAATGAATTTACTTCACCTATCAATGTATTATGATGACACGCCTCTGACAAAAAAAAAAAAAGAACCAGAAGTTCAGATTTTTACTGTAAAATCTAAGAGTTCACTCAACTTATTCAAAATTGATTTAGAGGAATTGGCTGGTATTAAGCATCCTGATCATCTATAGACTAAAGAATATCTTATTTTTGCATCATGGATATTCTAAGGCTTCATGCAAAAATTGTTGCGATCTAACAGGCAGTTTTCAAGAAAATGGCTTGCAAGTGTGTTCATGAGATGTTGAATGAACTATAGTTACATAGGTCATCTCATCACCAGAAATTTGAGACTGGTCCTGTGATTACCATGCAACTTTAGAACAATTGAGACTGGTCCTGTGATTACTATGCAACTTGTAACAATTGAGACTGGTCCTGTGATTACCATGCAACTTTATAAAAAGAAGAAGAAAAACATTCCCTGTTAAAAATAACTGACAAGTGAAAAATTAAAAATAAGTGTTAATGAAGTAGGCAAAAAAAAAATCCTGAGCTCAGAACAGGAAATGGGCATGTGATTTATCATCACCAAATTTACTCATTTTGATGAAGAAAGCAGCAGAAGGTCCTAAATACTAAATACATCCACCCTGAACTCTACAACCTACATATGGGGGAAAGACTGGATTCAAGAAGAAACAAGTCTGTAGCCACTGTCTTGAAACACACTCACTATGTCATGTCCTAGTGGAAGCTCAGCATAAACTTGTTGATTGTGAGACCTTGCAACTGGCATCTGTACAGTGCGACCTCTGACCTCTTGCCTCTCCTTCACCTTCTGGGGCTGCTCATTGTCAGTTTCGTGTATCTTCAGCACCGATCGGTCCTTGATATCCCTGGTTAGAGCAGACACAGAGTGGAATGAGAATACACACATAAGTTACAGTTGATCTTACACATGGATATCACATCGCTAGTGCAGAACTATGCAGGTAAATTTGTATCTTTGCTCCACAATTGATCAAGGATTTGAACCTGGGTCTCCCAAATGTCTCCCAGCATTTCTAGCCACAGAGGGTTTAAAAACAAAATAATAAATCACAAACTAACAGAGGTCTTTATAGAAATAGACAATTTTTGAAAGGCACAGACAGAAAATCTACCACCAAACTGAGAATGTTGAAAAATAAAATAAGTTCTGCTTTATGGAGAAGAAACATGGAGAACCACTCAAACAATTTTATGAGTTGGGAAAAGATAGGATGACTTTACATGTGTTATTCAAAGGCTTATGCTTTACTGGATAAAGTGCAGTAAAAGCATCTTCATTGTCTTTTTTTTTTTTTAATGACTTTATTAAAGTATTAATTTTTAGCCAAGTATGGTCTGGAGCACAAACTAATGATGAACAATACAATTACAGTTGTAAAGAAGATCAATAAAACCCAAACTTTATTAACAGACAACACGGGTAACAACAAAAAATTAGAAGATGTGATGATGGAAATACTTGTCTCAACTTCCTGATCAAATGATAAACATAAAAAACGCAGAAAAATATAAAGCAGACACATTTAAGGGCCAATTATTTAGCAGTTGCCAGGGGATTCCTCAGCACTAAAATGACAGAATCCCCACAAAGAAACATTTTGGAGATGAATCTGTCTTTGTTCACAGGCTTTGATTTCTTCTTTCCTTTGCCAGCTTTGGGTTGCTCTGTCCACATCTCTTTCACATTCTCTAAGACCATATTGCAATGTCTATCGAAAGCTTTTACACGAGCTAGCAACTTTTTATTATTGCGGCAGTTGATCAAAACTTGTGTGTTGTTCTTCACAGACTGTGTCAGCACAGACAATGGGCCAGTGTTAAACTTCTCCTGCTCATGTTGGGATAACTCTTCTGGCGTCATCTCACTTTTGGGTTTCTAAACTGCTGCCATTTTTGCATCTTGTGATGATGACACAGATTTTCTAAGGTGGAACAAATTTAAAATTCCCTTCTAATAGTTTGGGCTTGTTTCTGGCGCATGCTATAGTAGTATCTTCATTGTCTTCTTCCAATCATTTCATCTTTCAGGATTATATCATCAAATATGTTCTCATGATGACTTGACCCTTAAGTTTGAGTTTCCCTTTAGTGCAAGTCAGTTTGGAGTTCAGTGCTGATTCAGCAGACCCATGTATATTGTCCAGATTAATTAAACACTAAATGAACCAGACTAGAGGATAGTAGTGAATATCAGATGCAAACACTTTTTGCATGGTCTCAACGTACAGCACACTTGTGCCATCTTCTAAGTCAAGATGGAAGAAATTCTTACCAACTTCTCATGTGAACAACCAGTAGCTGAACTTTAGGGTGGCTGCTGCATAGGAGGGCTGAGTATGCATGGGAATGCCCAGTTTTCAGTAATGTCAATTACGATAACATAACATGTATTTTGTATTTACCCTGTACAGAGGGTAATACAATTTGTTTGTTTAGTCCATATAGACATGATAGTAAAGTGCTGAGCGAACAAGTGTATGAGAAGACCAATCACTCACAGTGCCATTTCATACCCACTAACAGATTATCTTCGCTTTGTTAAGTTTTGTAAGGATGAACAAGAATATGCACAACAGTGAGAACAGTTTTAAAAGTAAATAAATACTCAGTTGGAAATATGTGAACTCTCTCACTGTCATTTTTATTTTCCACTTCTCTTCTAGCTAAATGATAGCAAGCAGTGATAATTAGGTGCTATTTTCTATACACTCTATGCAGATGGGTGGTAGCATAGTAGTCTGACACCCGCATACCAGCTTGAAGGTCTAAGATTCAAATTCACAATGAACAAAACTTTTTTTAAATAGCCTTGGCTCATAGGTGGACTTGTCTAAAATGGCTACTGGGTAAAGTTCTGAGAACTTAAGATGGCTGGCATGATGAGACTACATCACTTAGCGAGTGCTTGATGGTTGTATACAAATATAAGCCTAACACCATGTGTCAGACACACCACAATACTTACTTTGTGTCTCCAAATGCACCACTAAAAAGACTCCATTACTTTACCTTTACTCACTTTGTCACATTCCTATATTTCCAAATTGTAATGTTAGTATGCTATTTTTATTTGTGTTTTTCTTTTTGATTTCCTCATGGATTGGTGTGTCTATCTGTAGTGCTGTTCCTTAGTTGTTATTCTCCACAATCCAAGTGTGTATTTTTTTTTATTACACTATTGTAGTGAGTCTCATTTTCTCCCAGTTAATTTATGCCCGACAGATGACGTCAGTAATAAATGTTAGTGGAATATTTTGACTCTAACTGGGATGACACGGGAATTGTTGAGTCTAAACTTCACGGGAATTATAAAGAAATGCTGATAGTCAAACTTTGTGCGAAGTATAATTATTCACGTGTAGAAAAATGCGAAGTTTGATGAATCATGGGCCAAATGGAATTCGTGAGACTGAAGGGACACGGAGTATTCGGGAAAAACGAAGCGGGGCATTAGAAGGTTATATAATACCGTAGAAAGGGCTGAGGGGCAGTCTCGTTTGGGCCCAGGAACAGAGTGCATGGACAACAGTGGATAATATGTGGATTCAACATGTATTTGAGTATTTTTGTTCCTCCAATGTCCAACTTGGCCAAACAAGCTGGCGGGCAATATGTCTGCGGGCCGTGTTAGTTTTTCTGTCAGGACAGCTGTTGTGTTTTTCGTTCATGATGCTAGTGTAGGACGATTGTGATTTCGGATAGAAGGTAATAATTGATACTTTTGATACTTGAGTTATAATGTGTGCCTGAACAGTAGTCTATTTCATGTGCCGGCTGAGGAAGCCGCGAGTAGAAGATTAAAGTGCTGAACAGTATCGTGTTGTTTTTCCAGTCCTCCATTTTTTGCTCGTCGTGTGATGTCGGTGTGTGAGATAACAAGCGTGCAATGATGCAAGCCAGATAGAAGATAAAGGAGAGTCATCGCAACTATCATTCTCCAAAGTACTGAAATGTGGGTTTAATGTGTTTACACAGGTCACTCAGACTTTCATTGCACTGTCTTTCTGTGTGGGTTTTGATGTCTCATGCCTGGAAAAGGGGGGGGGGGGGGGGGGGGGGGTAGAGACCCACTTCACCTTTAAGAATCATGTTGTAACTACTTATTATAAGTTCACTGAAATCAGATTGTGAGTTTCGAAAGGTGCAGATATCTCAGCCTAGCTGTAAACCACATTGCCAACAGCCCTTTTGAGGGAGAATTCAGAAGAAATTGCACCGTCTGCCTTCACCTTACGAAGAATCCATTTATTTATGTGCTGATATTTACCAAACTGTTACTTGGCAACTCATATCCTTCCTCTAAGGACAGCACCATTATTCTATATTATATCTATAGTCCTTCCAGTGATTCTCAACCTGTGGGTCATGACCCTTTTGTGGGTTGATCGACCCTTTCACAAGGGTCGCCTAAGACCATTGGAAAACACATATTCACTGAAGTTATGAAGTAGCAATGAAAATAAGTATATGTTTGGGGATTGCCACAACGTGAGGAACTGTATTAAAGGGTCGCGACATTAGGAAGGTTGAGAGCCACAGGTCTATTCCTTCATGTTAAATTACCTTATGTCTGAACTAAAGAAAGAAAGTCCATCCACGTTTGCAGTCATTTTCTAAAAATGCAGGCAAACTCTGACCCACAATGTGGCATGTAGGGACAAGGTGTTGCCGTATTTGCTGCCAAAATATTTTCCTTGTGTAAATCTTCTTTCAGTGAAGAATACAAACATCTTCATCTGAGAGCAAACATGCTGCAAGTATTGCTGGGAAACTTGCTGATCATTTCATCAGGCAGTTGGCACGATCCTGAAGATGACTTTTGGTCTTGGTATTTATGTGCTGTACAAACTGGCACTCACTGAGAGTTGAGGAGTTTGTTAGTGGAGGAAATCCTCACTATAAAATAACGTATAACTCTGTGACATGGCTATCATTAAGTAAAAGATGCCATACATAGCTCCACCCTGCAGGGTCTGTCTCTTTAGACACAGGTTTATCAACATCTTCAAGTGCCTTGCACTGGTTGATCATGCCATCTCAACAGTATTTATCAGCTTCTGTGCTGACATCCCTGTGTGTCATGACAAAAGACTGCAAACTTTCAATAGTTTGTAAATTATTATCATCTTGTATCTCACATACCTTCTGATAGTTTTTTAAGTTATCCTCTAGTATCTTACATTAACTTTTAACTCTTTGAGTCCCAAGGAACGCATCATGCGTTCATAGGTTCCTACCTAGAAGCCCAATGAAAGCATGATGCGCTGATTTTATTACTTTCTTTACTACCCCCTGGGCCTGTGATGCTAAACCCCCTGGGACTCAAAGAGTTAATAATCTGTGTGTTAACTTTCCTTAGGTTCTCTTCAAGTAAACAATAACACAGAGGAAACAATTCCAAAATATTAAGTAAATATTTCTTACACAAGGTCCTCCAGCTGGAAGTATATGTTGGTGGCTGGATCCAGCAGGTATATTTTCTTGCGAGGATCTTCAAGCATCTCCAGAGTGAGGTCAGGAAAGGCCCGCACAAACAATGCTCGGACAGTGTCCAGTGTGGTGATCTCATTAGGCAACATTGACTTCTTAGTCTGGTCACCATAGACAAGGAAGACTAAACCTAGAGGTGGACAAAATATTTGTGTTTTACTGAACAAAATCCAATCCATGAATAATTTAAATTAAACAATATGCAATTTATAAAGACAGTGTCTGTAGCAGGGTGCAGAAATAGAACAAATATACAAATATGTTTGGCACTCAAGTACTGCTGGAACTCATAATGGGAGTGGGGCTGTAAGAGGAAATAACAAAAGCAAGACCTACTATGTATTACATAAGAGGTGACTAAAAACTATGGTGGTTTATTCTAGAGCTGTTTTATCTGCCCTTTAAGGCTCCCAGTAGAACATAAGCCCTAACCTTGCTTGCAACAATGTATCCTATCCTTTGCTATCACAATCCTAGGGCTGTGCTGGATGGAAGCCAGCAGGAAGCTAATGGATAATTTCTGTGGATATCTGAAGTATACTCACAAGGAAAGCTCTAAGATAGTCTCTCTATATTAACATTTCTCCCACAGTCTAAGCCAAAAAAATCTCTCTCCCTGTTAATAGTTCTGAACACTGAGGCAAAATTGATATCCATTTCACTGCCATAAGATCTTACTCTAGGGATCAAACTGATAATGTTTCTTAGATAAATGACCTCATTCCTAGTTTAGCCATTATACACCCTCCGATAAGCATCTTCATCTTCTTCAATGTTCACCGGCTGTAAGCTTCAGTGGAAAGTCCTAGTTGTTCGTCCATTTGGACTCTGGCTTTGTGCCAGGACTTGAGTTTGGGGTATAGATCCGTTTTACTGGCTTATTTCTGTGCAGCTGGTTTTCCTTGCCACTCAGGCAGACGCACTTTGACTTCAAAGGACACCACCAATTAGTTGACGCCTATGACATGCTTGTTGGAGAGGCAGTGGGTCTATTCTTGCTGTCTCCAGAATGGGGCCACAGAACCCACACAGAGAACTGATAAGCATACACTCATGTTAAAAATATTATTATGTTTTTATTTAACATTCTTCTTTTTCAATTTCCTTTTTTCTTCAAATATTTAGTTATTTTTGTACTTGTTATTTCTTTTTTTTCCCTCCCTTTTTCCCATTCATTCATTTATATTTCATTTTACAAGAGCCCTTCCTGTCCAAATTTTTCTCACTTGCAGTCTCTTTCTTTTCCACAAGACTCTCCTCTCATATTTGAGGTTGTGGTTTAAGATTACGGTTACTCTATTCATTGAAAAAAGTGGCAGACATGTCTGGTTATATGTGCATGACTTGTCCTCTCCTCACTGAAATTCCAAAATATATTGTGTTTTAGTTTCCCATGGGGTGGGGAGGGGGGGGGGGGTGGGGGTGGGTGGGGTGTTGCAAGGAACACAAGAACAGACCCGCTACCCCCTAACAAGCATGTGATAAAAGGTGTCTAATTAAGAGTTTTCTTAAATCAGACGCACTGACAAGAAAGACGCAGATATTGTAGCCTAGCTGTAAACCACAATATTATGTGTCAATCACTATTTGTGGGACTAATGCAGAAGAAGTCTGTATTAATTCATTTCAAGTTTCAAATTTAGCCAAAATGTCAGTAATAGCTGAAATGTGGTGCCATGCCAGAATAAATATTTTTGTAATAGATGCTGAATGGTGAACTGCTGGAAATTTCTGTAGGCATTTAAATAACTTGAGAAGTAACTTCACTGGCACAGCCAGGAACTCATAGATCTCACACAAACAAAATGAAGTAGATATTTGATTACATATTGAGCAACATAAAAAGTGAAAGTTGTGAGCATACTGCAGTTTATATGTCACCCACAAATGACGACATTGTCTTTCAGAAGGAACAAGCTAGAATCATCCTACAACAAAGCATTATCTTTTGTCTGAACCCAAAACAATGGAATCTGGGCAGAAATTGTACCAACTACCTGAACCTACAACTATAAAATCTAGACAGACTTAGTACAAGCTAACCTAAAAGCCATAAATCAACCCGGCTATTCTTATAACATGGCTGAACAATTATTAGGTAAAGTACCTGTTTCCCCATACATTTACAGATTAGCTGATACTCAGTGTGTGATACGGTCAATTGCTGACACTCAGTATGTGATACGGTCAATCGCTGACACTCAGTGAGTGATACAGTCAATTGCTGACACTCAGTGTGTGATACGGTCAATCGCTGACACTCAGTGAGTGATACGGTCAATCGCTGACACTCAGTGAGTGATACAGTCAATCGCTGACACTCAGTGTGTGATACGGTCAATCGCTGATACTCAGAGTGTGATACGGTCAATCGCTGACACTCAGTGAGTGATACGGTCAATCGCTGACACTCAGTGAGTGATACAGTCAATTGCTGACACTCAGTGTGTGATACGGTCAATCGCTGACACTCAGTGAGTGATACGGTCAATCGCTGACACTCAGTGAGTGATACAGTCAATCGCTGACACTCAGTGTGTGATACGGTCAATCGCTGACACTCAGTGAGTGATACGGTCAATTGCTGACACTCAGAGTGTGATACGGTCAATCGCTGACACTCAGTGAGTGATACGGTCAATTGCTGACACTCAGTGTGTGATACGGTCAATCGCTGACACTCAGTGTGTGATACGGTCAATCGCTGACACTCAGTGTGTGATACGGTCAATCGCTGACACTCAGTGTGTGATACGGTCAATCGCTGACACTTAGTGTGTGATACGGTCAATTACTGACACTCAGAGTGTGATACGGTCAATCGCTGACACTCAAGAGTGTGATACGGTCAATCGCTGATACTCAGAGTGTTATACGGTCAATCGCTGACACTCAGTGTGTGATACGGTCAATCGCTGACACTCAAGAGTGTGATACAGTCAATCACTGATACTTAGTGTGTGATACGGTCAATCACTGACACACAGCTAGTAATGCTGCCAATCGCTGTCATTCAGAGAGTGATGTAGTCAAGCATGACAGACACCTTTTACTGCCCGAAATGGTTCCTGATACCCCATTTAGGCTCGCTCACTGTAGGATCTAAGTTCTATTTAAAAATGTATTCCCCAGATTAAAGATTAGTATTTATTTATACTTCCTGTGGATTAATAGTGGATTATGTCTTCTTCTTCTTCTCCTACTCCTTACCACCACTGACACCATTATATCATTTTTTCTTCTTCTCCTTCTTCTACTTCTTCTAGTTCTGCATTTGATCTTAAGAGGATGGCTGGCATTTTTACTGTGGTTTACAGATGGGCTGCAGTATCTTTACTTTACAGCCCAATGTTTCTGATCTCAGCAAAACTCGAATTAGTCACCATTTAAAATGTGCTTATATTAAAGGGAAGTGCATCTATTCTCTTTCTCCCCCATAATTCCCTTCCCCCCCCCCCTCTCCAAACCACATGGTAAAATTGGCTTTCGAAAAATGTATTTTATAAATTATGTATTATGTTGTACTGAGACAAATTTTTTATTCTTTTCTTTATCTAAAGGTTATGTATCTCTCCTGACTTGTCAATGTAGTGTAATGAAAATTCTATTTCCATGAAAAATCCAGGAATCTCTAAAACAAAATCAATGCCAGCAGTCTCAGGAAATTGGAAACTTGACTCTCTGATTTCAGGGAGTCTGCCCTACTGCCAGATGGTACAGTAGACTCTTCGATCAATAACACATTTCAATTCCAGAAGAGATAATTGGAACTATATTTATGTCTAAAATGTTTCCCCTGCCTCAAACTGTGTTTTTCTGACTACCTAAGCTGGTGACCAGTTGAATCTTAAATTGCTGAAATTGTAATTTAAGGTAAAATCACAAAATGTTTTATGGCTGCTCTTAATGAGCAGAATATTTCCTGTGGCAATTTTAGTTTGGATTAACACTGAAGATTTATCCGTAGGGGATAAAAGCTGATAGAATGAAGTTAGTCTTCTCGACTTTATGACTGTAACTCTGAATTTATTTCACAGACCACTTCTGATCTGAGCTGTTAAATGCACAGCTTCTTTACGGAGCAGAATGCTGGAGAATGACCAAAAAGGATGCACACAAGCTGTCCACCTTCCATCACACATGTCTACGTAGAATTATCAAAATTTTCTGGCCAGATACAATCTCAAACACTAAACTACTTCAAGCCACAAACCAAGAAACTTTAGACAGTATGATTACCAAGAGAAGATGGAAATGGCTTGGCCACGATATGAGAATGACTTCTGATATACCTGCCAAAACAGCTCTCACATGGACACCAGAGGGAAAGAGAAAACAGGGGCGCCCAAAAACAACAGGGAGACGAACGATGGAAAGTGACTTGAGTGCGGCATCTTTGACATGGAAAACTGCACTGAAGATTGCACAGGACAGGAAAGCATGGAAAGTCCTCTCTGAAGCCTCATGTGCCACTAGGCATAACGAAAACTGATGATGATGGAATTGTGACAAGTGACTGTTTCATCCATGCAGTCAAAAGCACACTCATCCCATGTGTGCTACAGGGCCCCATTTAGAGGAGGGGAAAAAACCGGACAAATAAACTTTATTTTTAAAGGGTTACAAATTGGACACGCAGGCCAGTCTGACATTCGGCCCTTCTAAGTACTCAAATTCCAGAGTAAAAATGCCTGGTATCAATAATTCATGTTATGTTTATAATTTAAAAAAATATACATTATAGAATAATGAAAACACACATCATGTATACACAATCATTCACACTCAAACATACATACACATACTCTTACATTCTAATTCATACACATAAACACTCATAAAAGGAACAGAGGGGATGTCCTTTCAAAAGATGCCCCAAAAGGCAACTATTTATGCATTTGCAGAAATAAAAAATGCTGGACAAAAATAAAAATAAACAGAAAAAAGGCAGACCTTGCAGCATTGCTGTAAACCAAAACCTGCCCTCTAAAAGATGAATACAGAGAAAGCAGACACACCTAAAAGGCAATGAAGAGAGAGATGCTAACAGTAGCAGCAGAAGCTAACAGTAGCAGCAGAAGCTAACAGTAGCAGCAGAAGCTAACAGTAGCAGCAGAAGCTAACAGTAGTAGCAGCAGAAGCTAACAGTAGCAGCAGAAGCTAACAGTAGCAGCAGAAGCTAACAGTAGTAGCAGCAGAAGCTAACAGTAGTAGCAGCAGAAGCTAACAGTAGTAGCAGCAGAAGCTAACAGTAGCAGCAGAAGCTAACAGTAGCAGCAGAAGCTAACAGTAGCAGCAGAAGCTAACAGTAGCAGCAGAAGCTAACAGTAGCAGCAGAAGCTAACAGTAGCAGCAGAAGCTAACAGTAGCAGCAAAAGCTAACAGTAGCAGCAGAAGCTAACAGTAGTAGCAGCAGAAGCTAACAGTAGTAGCAGCAGAAGCTAACAGTAGCAGCAGAAGCTAACAGTAGTAGCAGAAGAAGCTAACAGTAGCAGCAGAAGCTAACAGTAGCAGCAGAAGCTAACAGTAGTAGCAGCAGAAGCTAACAGTAGCAGCAGAAGCTAACAGTAGTAGCAGCAGAAGCTAACAGTAGCAGCAGAAGCTAACAGTAGCAGCAGAAGCTAACAGTAGCAGCAGAAGCTAACAGTAGCAGCAGAAGCTAACAGTAGTAGCAGCAGAAGCTAACAGTAGCAGCAGAAGCTAACAGTAGCAGCAGCAGAAGCTAACAGTAGCAGCAGAAGCTAACAGTAGCAGCAGAAGCTAACAGTAGCAGCAGAAGCTAACAGTAGCAGCAGAAGCTAACAGTAGCAGCAGAAGCTAACAGTAGCAGCAGAAGCTAACAGTAGCAGCAGAAGCTAACAGTAGCAGCAGAAGCTAACAGTAGCAGCAGAAGCTAACAGTAGCAGCAGAAGCTAACAGTAGTAGCAGCAGAAGCTAACAGTAGTAGCAGCAGAAGCTAACAGTAGTAGCAGCAGAAGCTAACAGTAGTAGCAGCAGAAGCTAACAGTAGCAGCAGAAGCTAACAGTAGTAGCAGCAGAAGCTAACAGTAGTAGCAGCAGAAGCTAACAGTAGTAGCAGCAGAAGCTAACAGTAGCAGCAGAAGCTAACAGTAGCAGCAGAAGCTAACAGTAGTAGCAGCAGAAGCTAACAGTAGTAGCAGCAGAAGCTAACAGTAGTAGCAGCAGAAGCTAACAGTAGCAGCAGAAGCTAACAGTAGTAGCAGCAGAAGCTAACAGTAGCAGCAGAAGCTAACAGTAGCAGCAGAAGCAAACAGTAGTCGAAGCCGAGCAACAAACAAACAGACAAAAACAATAGTAGCAGCAGCAGCATAAACACAAACAGTAATGGTAGTAGTATTACCAGGGCCAGCAGAAAACAGTAGTAGCAGTAGTTGTTATATACAACTACATATATATGTTTCAGGCAGCGCAGGAATGTCACAGTGACCGATGAGAACTACAGCCAGTATGCCAAGTACAGAACTTACCTAATGGTCGTTCCAGGGACGTGGAGGCGCTACGGACTAACGGCATGCTGGTCCTGATCAAACCGCCTCTCTGGAAAGATGGAAGCTCAAGGTCACTCATAGTACCCACATCGTCGTACTCAAGGACATTGGCACCCTGGCTGGAGTTGTAGGTCACAACGGCCGTTCTTCGTCGCTGGCCCTCTCGGGCACGGGATGGCTGTAGAGTACAAGAAACATGACATTTATTGGTTGAAAGGCTATTCTATGTTCGTCTTCTTCGTGTTCACCAGCTGTACATTCTGGCGGAAAGTTCTGGTTGTTTGTCCATTACTGAACTGCAGTCCTGCTCCAGAACCTGAGTGTTGCGTGTGCATCAGTTTTACAGATCTCATTCTCTTGAAAACAGACTGCTGGTTCCATGCCTCTCCGGCAGATGCACTCAGACTTCAAAGGAAGCTCCCCAATTAGTAGACTCTTACGACATGCTTTTGGGGAGGCAGTGGGTCTATTCTTGTTTTCCCCACACGGGGGGCTATTCTATAATACTTTAAATATAAAAGGAGCATGTTTCACGCCTACATGCGTATTGGGAACGTAGGACTAGACCTATATTCTATAGACTAATCGGTGGGTGATGTGATGAGCTTTACGCCGACCGCCTTTACTTCCCCGCTACCCATTTATGGCTGCCTCGACCAGACAGCCGAGTAATTTTTGAGAAACAAAATCCGGTTGAAGCAGTAGTTCTCAACCTGTCGGTCGTGACCCTTTTTTAGGGTCGAAAGATCCGTTGACATCCGTCGCTTACAACCATCGGACAACACATATCCGTTGACATCCGTCGCTTACAACCATCGGACAACACATATCTGTTAAAGTTATGTAGTAGTAACGATAACAATTGTATGTTGGATGGGGGTCGCCACAACATGAGGAACTGTATGAAAGGGTCGCAGCATAAGGACGATTGAGAGCCACTGTGTCAAAGGTTACAGTTCGAGAGGTTCGACTTCATTGCACCGGATTGTTATCCCATATGGCGCGGTCTCTCTATCTTCGACAGGATCTAAACCCACGACCTTCCGATCTGTAGGCGAGCGCCTAGCAGCTCCACCATGGTGACTCCATCTTAAATTATAGTGAATATTGAAATAAGCATCGCCGGTAGGTTATTGGCGTTTGTAGAGAAGGCAAGCTATAGCAACAATGCTTTCTCTTCAAGGCAATTAATGGGCTGAACTGTGACAATGAAGCTTAACGGAATTGGAAAAGGTAAAACTAGAACACAAACAGGAAAAATTAGGCGCTTCGACGGCAGCCTTTATCGACAAACAACCCCCCCCCCCCCCCACGCCCTCTTTCCAACTTTTGAATTTTGTCCTGAGGAACTTGAGGTAAGACATTTGGTCCTGTTCACGTTTCTCAACCAATCTACACTCTGACTGACCTTTCATTCATGCTTTCTCAGACTGTTCTACGTCAGAGGGGTGTCATGTTGTCTTGTCTCCAATTACATCAGCACTAGTGTCACATGTTCTATACTACACGACGACACAGCTTTTAACGATCACTTAACATCTAGAACTACCCTTTACCAACGACCCCCCCCCCCCCCCACCCACCCCTTTCCTACCCACAGCCTAAGCCTAGGTCCCAACGAGATACATTTTTCGAAGCAAATGGTACAACGTGACAACCATCTGACCTCGACCAGACTGAGAAAGTGCATAGATGGGCCGGGATACGTGAATTGGACCAGACTTGTTTCATAGAAGAATTAGCCGACCGCGCCCCACTGTCAAATGAAGAGGTTTTCTTTTGAAGTATTTATTGATACATTTCATTTTGTTTCCGATATATTGCTATATTTATTTCCCATTCAGCACATGATGATGATGGGAGCCGCCGTGGTGTAGCGGCTAGACCCTCGCCCGAGGATCTGAAGTTCGTGGGTTCGGATCCCGGAAAACCGGACTGTTTTCAACAAATGACCTTGGGTCAACCCAGACTTGAATAGGTCCTGGGAAGTAAAGCTAGCCGGCGTGATGGTGACCACAAACTCAACAAGTTCCAATCGGTCTATACAACTGTGACAATACGCTCGGTGACTTCAGAAAGTCTTTCCTCAACCTACTTTTATTTCTTTGTATTTTGAAAGTATACAGGAAAATAGGGATTTGGATACATCCTTAATCTAAGTAAGACGACCACATCACACATTTAATTTTCCGGGACTGTTGATAATATCAAACACTGAGATTCTTTCCCAGATGTAAAGTGTTAAGGTAGTCTTTGTGACGCCTGTGATTCTGCCCAGCCCAGACTTACTGTCTGCAGATTTGCACACCATCTGTTGGTGTCAGATATTTATTTCCTAGCCAGACCTTCAGGAACAGATAACAAGGGCTAATTGCCATTATCTCCCCCTGAGGTCACCTAAACTGGAGTGCCGGTCAGATCGTCAATATTGACACAGTGAGCTGAAAGTGTTGGCAGAAGAATTGACAAAGTCGGATTTTATTGTGATGACAGGTGAAGTAGACTGGAGGTGTGACTTGGCCTATTGGCTTTGACCAGCTTAATTGAACCTGTAGAAGGAGATCCTAGCGTGGGAATTCAAACTATTGTTGTACAGTCACTGACTGACAGTGAATATACACCCACAGGGAGGAGCTGTGACATCTTTGAATGAGAATGGTTTTAGGCGTAATGTAGGAGGAGCTTAATAAAAGTTATAAAGGGGTGAACTCTTGGTCTGGTAAATGAGATCCTGTCCAGCACATGCCATCTGTTGGGCTTAACCTAAGCTTGAGACAGAACTTTTGGCATCGTGGCTTCATTTTCCAGGTAAGATCGAAATTAGGTTCAAATCTATATTTTATGATAGAGATCTAACTGTCTTTTTACTCAAGTGTGTGTCTTTATCACTTTGTAGTACTCCTAGGCGGACATTTCTTCATTCTCGTAGGGCACTGTCACATTGCTTTATTTCCTATTTGATAGTGTCATGAATGTTTTTCGTGCACATGTGTTTCAATGTTGTAAAACCTAAATGTTGTTGTTGCCACTGAAATTTAATGAACTATCATGTTTTTGAAATCACAAGCGTGAAGATAACTTTGGCAATCTTTTCACGTGTGGTTAATGTGAATCTGTATTACATACAGCTAACACACTGAAATGTGTTTAACTCTCGGGAGGCTAATGCGGAGATTGATCCCGGAGAGTAAATCCACGAGATTTGTTATTTGATTCGCCTCAAAACTATTGTTAGCATTCTGGGCGCGTCGATTGTTCCAAGCATAGATTCCAGAACTGGTTCTGTCTGACTGAGTGTCATTTGAGTCTGTACGAGAGATGGCACCTGGCGTAGAAGACTTGACTATCATTACAGGACGTGTAGAGGAAGGGAGAAGATATAACAGTTCCAATGTGAGACATAAGCCCTTCCAAATTGGACAGGAGTGAATGTGAGCATGAGGGAGAGATGAAATGTTTTATTTAAATAAACATGCTTGATGTTAGTATAATATACATGCTTAGAGTACATCTAGAGCAGATACTACAAATATGCGCTTGTTTCTTCATTCTCCAGTTCCCACATTGGGCAGGGACTAGTAGGCATCCATTATTTGCCGACCGTCGAGTGTAACGACCTGCAGGAAGCAGTGAGGACGACAAACTGGGAAAGATAGGCAGGGTCTCAAGCCGAGAACTGTCCAAAGGTTGTTACTTTCCAATACCTTTATGATTTCATCATCCACATCATTTCAACTCTACTAGCCTAAACAAGTTCATTTTATTTTAGTCAGATTTATTAAATAAATCTTTTTCATGTTGTTAAAAATAGTTGAGTAAATTGTGTACTTAGGTTCAAGTGTCTTGGTGCATATTAGTTTACTTCAGCTAACAAATATTTAAATCACTTGATGGGGGGCTTTTAAGTAATGTCAGGAGAGGAGAGCAGTCGGAGGGGTTAAATGAGCACCTGGATTATATCACAGTGGGTGTATCCAGATATCTATCTATCCCTTCTCCTACTCCTGTGGATACAAGTACAGCAACTTTCATTTCATGGAACGAGCCACTCGCTGTTTTCTTGGCTATCCAGGACTGTCTAGGATCAACATAGCTTAGATAATAGTCCAGTTTCTCACGTGGGTGGGCATTGTTAAGGTTCAAACCCACACCCTCACTATATCAGTGTATTTACCCACGCGGGCGCGCGACAACAACATAACGCTGTATGCCCAATAGGCTTGAAAGAAAAGGGCCCTATACCTGAAGATGATGATAGTATTATTGGGTACTTAAACAAGGTCCCTCGTTCTCTAAGAAATGACAAGTGGCTGATGACGTTAGAGTACCAACAAAGCAACTGACAGAAGTGAGCTTTGGTTGGAGTCATAAGTAAATCCTAAAGGTAGTTAACTAATTCTGATTCCTTTGTTGGTCAAAGTTAATTCGAAAATAATTGTATCAACGTATTCTTCTTTCAAAACAAAACCCTAAGACGAACGTTAGTTAATGAGAGGGTCTGGACTGAATTCCACCCATGACACTGAAACCATGACACTGAAACCATGACACTGAAACCATGACACTGACTATTAAATATTATGTAAGAGAATGGTAGAATAGACAAAATTGTATTTGACGTATAGTAGCAAACACAACATGATGATCATGACGATTAATAACACGTGAGTTTTTAACATAACTGAACAGCACTCTAATTTCTTCCCAGACATGGTAAAACAAACTGATTGGGGGGGGGGGGGAATAAAACAAAACTAATGTCTGATTCAATACGTGCGATAAGTTGCCTGACAGCTCGAGCCAGTCTGGTGACCAGTTTTAATAAAGTTGATTTTGTAGCGCAGATCGATTTTATCCATCTCAGAATATCAAATCGCAAAGTCGATGAGTCAGCATTGATCTTTTTTTTCTCGTAGACATCACATTTGAACGTGCTGTGTGCAGTCACTCACGCACCTGAAATGAAGAGGGGGCGAGAACAGGGAAAGGATGGGAGGGGAGTAGAGGAGGAAATTAACAGTTGATTCGAGTATACTACAATGAACCAAAACGCTGTGTGAGATAGCGATGTATTAAATACACAATTATCAGGTTTTTCTCTGGTGTCATATCAGACGTCAGTGTTTTCCTCGACGAGTCCGTGAAATCGGTTTCATCCTTTGACAAAGCTCCACAACA